TCCCCCTTTTTTGCTGGTCAACTCCCATTTTTCCGATCACAAAACCGGTAGATGTTCCTCTGAACCAATGGGAGATTCAGAGACCTTCACGGCACCGAGCGACGCCGCAGGCATAGGCCCACATCCCCGTCTCGGACACACCTTCTCCCCGGGCCCTGAGCACAAAAATCACGGGATTTTCTTTCCAGGAAAAATCATCAAGTGGAAATTCCAATTCATCAAAAGGTAAAATCAAATCTTGAAACCGCAAAAGATCGTCAATTCCCAATTCCAATGGGAAAATCAAAGTGGAAAGACTTGATGGATGGATGGCGGCTGGCGGCTTCGCCTGGCACGAATAGCTCCCACCAATGGCTCCTTCTCATCGTCTGGGAACAATGCAGGTACCATGCCAACTGTCAGGATGTTGTTGATGTACCTGAGATGCTCCCAGAGATGGCTAGCTGGGAGGCCTTGATGGTAAAAGTCATCTACAAATTGCTGATTTTCCAGCTGGCCTATGAGGCTTCAATTTTGGGGGGTAGGCTTCAATTTTGCAGATTTACAGCACCACCGCTCCAGAAATCCTCTCCGAGATGCTCCAGGAATCCTTCCTCCACGACATGAGCCTCAGAAGCATTGAGAGGCTGCTCCACTTCGCCCAGGGTCCCAGGTGGGTGTATTTGTTATGGGTATAACCATGGCGATGACCTCCAAAAGATAGGACCTAACCGCTACGACTATGGTTATATATATATATATATAATTATATATATATATATAATTATATATATACATTATATATATATACATTATATATATATACATTATATATATATATACATTATATATAAAAACCCAACTGCAACCCCAGGGTTTGTGGATCACCAATTCACAGGAACCTGAACCTATCAGCGTAAGCATAGGCCGCAGGCATCTGTAAAGAGGAAGCTCATGGGTTGCTTGATCGTAGCAGTGTACAAGGCCTGCACGATTTCCAACTTCCCACTGATCCTTGAGGATCTAAAAAATGGTTCGCTTAAGGCATGAGTGGTTCAGTCATCTATAGCGGTGGAAACCCCGGAACTGGTTCTAACAAGCAGGGAATGTTAACATCCTCAAAAACCTCAAACCTGTCTCAAGAGTGACAGAGTAGCCCATGAAAAACCGAAGCCTGTAAGAAGCCATCATCATTGTTGCAGTGCCCAAAACCTTGTATCATCTCCTTCGAGTGGTTGCCCTTCAATTAGATTGCTCATGCTTGGTCCATATAATCCCAGTGACACGAGTTAGAAGAGTATTTATACTAGTATAAGATAGTATAAAATAGAGTAGTATCACTCCAAGAATTGACATCACTTAAGTGTATAAACTTTACAAACCCAACTAGTTGATCATCAACAGGAGGATTTCAACCAGGATCTCAATCAGCTGGCACCAAGCCTTGAGATCTTCTCTGAGCTGGTCGTCTCCATAGCCGCGGGAAAGTGTGATCTCGAAGAGCTTGTAGCCAGCCTGAGATGACCATCCAAAGCCCAAACAATGGCTATGGATGGCTATGGCCATGGCCTAATGGCTGTGAACCAGTTAAAAACCCCAAAATCGCTGGGATTTATGAATGTGAAGAAGTCACACCTCGAATATGGATAAATATGGTATTTCAATGCATTTCACAGCGTATTCATAGGTTTTAACATGTTTTAACTCAAATGAATCGAACAGCCAGGCATTGAACAGGGATGTGACTCGCCAGGCCGGTAGCCCAGGTTAAAGCGTGCATAGTATAGCCCGCAAGAAGGCAGAAAGTAGGACTATCATGAACATCTCATAAATCCTGTGTAAGAATAAGGTGATTCCAGCGTGATCATCATGGCTGTAAGACGGTGTAAAAGTAGTTGGATGCGGTCCGCATTGAAAATAACTGAAACATCTTCCCGCGATCTTGTCCCAATTGACAAGCCAGTGTTTCGCTTTCCCAAACAAGCCAAACAAGTTCCGGAGTTGCCAAAGATGAAAGATCCGAAAGAATTCATTAGATGCCAGATGCCTATTTTTGGACCCTTTTTGACTGTTATTGTATGTTACATACTGTATGTTTGTTGGGATCTGAAAAACCATGGCGAAACCCAAGAAATATGACCGTCAACAGCCCCTGGCGTCCCCGGCCGCAAAGGTGGCCAGTCTGGTGAGCGATTGCTTGCCTTTTTGGGCCCCCAGTTGGGCCATTTTTTGTAGTGCAAGAAGTAGTGAAAATGATGATTGACCATGTCAATGGATTGGATTAAGGGAATTTTTACAGGAAAACATAGGAAAACCCCCATATTTAATGGGAAAATCTATGGTTTCGTGTAAATTTTCCCTTAAACCAATCCATTGACCATTGGATTTGGAGCTACCCTATCGACAAACCCATGTACTGCAACCATCTGCAAATCTGATGAGGGAGAACTTGGCTCCAGCTGTTCCGCTCCGCGGCCAGAGCACCACTGCCACCAACTCCAATGAGCAAGGCCATGCCGCGAGTCAGGCGAATGATGCGATGCAAACGAAGCAAGTGGGCCTCCGCCAAGGAGCCAAGCTGCAGCGCAATGACTTTTAGAATCTTTAGAATCTTTTAGATGGGTGTTGGGATAGAAAAATGCTGATTTAATGGTAATGTTTTTGAAGATATAACCACTGGGATACATCATTGACAATATGACATGTGGGTGTTCCTCAAATTGAGGTATTAGCCAAACCAAATGAGGATGTTGAGACAAGTGCATTTCAATTGACCCAAAGTCAGGGTCCCAGCTCTTTGTTCCCACTGAGGGCAGGGCCAGTGCATCATTGAACAGGACCAAATTCATGGGGCTGTTGTCACCTTGGCAATCACAAGCAGCCAGATTCGCTTCTGACTCACCCTGATTCTCACCCTGATTCACACCGCTTCACTCACGGCTGCCAAGCTTCCATTGTAAAGCTCAAGAACCCCATCGAAAATCGGGCGAATGGATTCCCAATTGCCCAGGTCCTTTCGAAATGAAGGAACGGGAAGCACTTTGAATCTGTGATTCTCTCGTTCAACACATCAAGTCTCCTCGTAAACCCTGGGAGCAGAGTATGGTGTGTCGCTCTTGACCTGACAGAATTGACTCTCTGCCAACGGGTAGTCAAGAAGTAGGCAATCAAGAAACAGCATCAGGCAAGACTTACCCGGGTGTGTCTCAAAATTTATGGAAAAACCCAACATATCCAATATCCAGAATATCCATATGAAAAAAGCTTGCCATGAAGCAGTCTATTTCCCATCTTCACCATGAAGCTTGCCACAAATTTACCGCGGGCTTCATCCCAATGGTTTTCGTTCAGCTCCCGGAGATCGGACCAGGATGTCCAGGGCGTCTCGGAAGTCTCCCCAGACCAAGGGATCTTGCAGGGCCACATCAGCACCTCCGAATCTAGAGCTGACAGCTGCCAGATGTTTTTTTCGCCCCCCAAAAAAGCATAGAGAAGTCAACTGCGAATCTAAAATAGTGGTCAAGCAATGTAAAGTACCTTTCTATCTTGCTGGGGTTACTACACTGCGCCGTGGTACTACAATCTGCGCCGTGGTCAAGTTAGATGGAATTAATAGGTTGTGGTCATTCCCATAAGGGGAATCCTTGCAATGAGCGTATGACCACCCCTGTTGATGGGTGGTGGATGACCATCCCTCAATATGAGTACATTATAAAAAACTAACTTGACCGTGGCACATATACTCTGAGGCATAAATTGTGCAGAGGATAAAAGAAAGTGATTGTTTGCATTCCAGGCACTCTTCTGGAACTGAGTCTTGATGATGTTGTGCAGCTGCTTCTCACTGAGGAAAGCCTGTCACAGTCTTGCTGTGGATGTTCGAAACCTATTAAATGTGCGTCAGTCACACGTCTGATGTCAACTTCATCATTGAAGCGAATGAATAATAGGTCATCATTAACATTATTCACTGTTTGTATTAATGTTATAATAGGTAATTACTAATAATTATTACAGTAACTATCATGATCAATGGTAGTAATGTAACAGCTAATTATAAATAAATGATGCCAACCATCGTAACTATCATTATTCAATAAAAAAAATGACCTATCATTGACGATCATTACGTAAGTAACGTCGCCCGGCCTTGTCTGCATCCTCATTGAAGCGATCTTCGTACACACGGGTACACTCATTGCGCCATAGCCTGCTTACCGGGCTTACCGGATGGTGGACTCATGGAACCGCCAAAACCGTGTGGGGTACCTGCTGGGTACCCCAAACTGGAGCTTTCCGAAACTGGGGTGACACCCCATTTTATCATCCAAAATGACTTATTGACAATGGGAAAAGCGATGGAAAACCAGTGGTTTGGGGTACTCATGTTCTAGGAAACCTCAATTTGGGAATGCCGTTAAAAATGGTGTCTTTTTATGGTGTTTCAATGGGGGAGACGATGCTAAACCCTGAAATTTAAGGGGAATGTTTCGCAACAAAAAGATGCCAAATTTAGTGACCCACAGCTGGAAAATTCAACCTGTGGAAAACATCGACTCGTTCACTGCCAGGCCTCACTAGGATCGCCGCATTGTTGACCACCTGCAGGATTGGGCTCCACAAATCCCACGGGCGAAAAACTTAAAAAGCCATCTGGTTATGACTAACAGTTTGCCATGGAAATTTTCTTCATGCTATTAATGGGTAAACCATCTATTTCGATTAGGGCCATCTATACCATGGCTATGTCAAAAATAACCAGAGGGTATACTTTTTTACTCCTGACTGTAGATCATGGTTTTTCCCCATAAAGTAGATCTAAGTTTCGCCATCAAATGTGCAACATTTGGGCTAAGCAATACTTAGACAAACTCACAAGTGAATCGCAGCCATGCTGGCCTGTGGATCTGCTTGGCAAATTCCCTGAAAGACGCGGCTCAAATCTCGAAGAGAAAAGATGTAGTGGAACCTGTCATACTGAGGGATCCCTCACCCTTCGCGAAACGTTTGCAGCCAACGTGATAATTGCAACTCTCCTGCACTTTTCAAACCGACAGACCTCAAACTGTCAACAAGTCACTGTAGAAATTTCCAAACTACACAGCTGACGCAAGGTCCCATTTTCCCGCAGGGCTCGGTCCGGGCTCGGTACAGCAGAACCTCGATCGGCAAATGGAAAGGAGCTATACTTGGACTAAGCAATCTTCTCGGCATAGCACCGCTGCACCAAGGAGGCACATCCGCCAGGGACCAGCTCAGTGATGGATTCCCCACGTTTCAGGCGCTCTCGAATCAAGGTCGAGGACACCATGGAAAACCTGGTCGCAGTCTACGGGCTCAAAAATGGGCCACCGGGCCACCGCAAGGGCCGTTGCAAGGGCCCATCAAATCGGTGGGTTTTTACTCATCTATTTTGGGGTCAACAATTCTGAGCCACCTTGGATCTGCTTGGATGTATGCAGTGGGAATCGGACGGACACGGCCAAGCAGAAGTTGACCGCTGATATTCCTGGGTTGGTTTTCCAAACCTGACCATTGACCATGGCCAGCCTATGGGTCAGTCTTTTCGGGTGGCTAAGCCAAATCTTGACCCAAAATTCAAACATCATCAAACATCCATTTCCCATCTATCCAGAATCAGATTCACTTCATTTCATTTCCTGCACCATGGGGTCTTTCATCACTTCCCACTTCGAAGTGACCCAAGCGTTTCGCCCAGGTTCTGCAGCTCCAAACACTTCTCAGAGGCTCCGTCTTTTCGGAAGCTGCGCAAGCCACGGTACATGACTTTGGCACCGTGCTGCTGGGCATGCTTCCAAATGTAGGACCACCTTTGATCAGGAACCCCCTCCCAGACCGATGTGCCAGCAAGGAAAGGGAAACTCAATCCCAGGCTGTGTCAAAATCCAAAATCAAGAAAAACTGTATCAAAGAGCTGAAAATATCGCTGGAGCACACAATGATCACGTCCACATTTGTGAGGCCAATTTCCTTCAGCATGGCCCGAAAGAGCTCTTGTCGCTCATACGGACTGACGTCATACTTCTTGTTGGGATTGACTCCAATGATCGCATGGACTCGCTGGTACCTGGCAGAGAGGTAGCGCACCATTTCCTGAGCAGGGCTGCGAAAACCTGGTGGATCTGGTCTTGGCAAACTGGAGGATTCCCATGGTACCCCCAGTTATCATCCAGTTTAAATAATGTTCACAGGATTTTCCATGATTCACCATCCGGCTATTGGGGTACTCAGGTACTCCCATTTTAGGAAACCCCCAGTTTGGAGACATGGCAGTGCCAAGCTCCGCAGCTAGCCGAGCGTCCAGGTGTCCTTGATGTGGTGGGTTGAAAGATCCAGCAATGAGAGCCAAACCACTCTCTGGCTCAGGAGCTGTTGGTAACGGTTGCCGAATGTAGGTGCTGGTTCCAAGTTGCACAGCAAGATATCCTTCGCAAATGCTGTCAGAGATCGTTGCAAAAGTCACAAGTGTCGCTGATTGAAACAGCCTGTGCTTGATGCATAGGATGATACCTAAGCCTGAGAGAATATGACTTGAGGCCCAGGGGTAAGGGACGAAAGCTTGGCAGGGAGCAAACACAATGAGAGGATGCGGATGCTGCCGATGTACCGGTGGCGACATGCCGATGTGCCGGGGGGGTTGAGCCGCGGCCAAACTGCTCGTGAAACAGCCTGGGGGGTAGTTAACTGTGAAGTTTCACGCGATTGGAGACTCAAGCTTGCTAAAGCAAGAGGGACTTCAGCTAGCAGAAGCTAGCTTTCGTGATTAGATATGATTAGCCACCACATCAAGAATTCAGGACTCAACGATGGAGCAGTTGATTCTGTTGGATCTCGTTCCAACTTCAAAACAATCTGAGCACTGAATTCACTGGGCCCTTCAGTCCTGCTGCTGCAGAAACTGGTAGGCCCACACCGAGCATGACATGCACCGGCGCAGCCACAATTGCAGAACCGGCCAGCAGCCCTACAGCACTCACTCCTCACCAAAACTGACCTTTTCCCAGAACTGACTGATGGGAAAAGTATGGAAAAGTTGCAGGAAAACCCATCCATTGAATGGTAAAACCCATAGTTTCCTGTAGAGTTGCCCTTAAATCCATCCATTGACACAGCTTGACCAAACACCCGAGATCCTGTGAGCTTGGACCAGCTGGACCAATTCGCGCTTGCAAGTGCCTTCAAGCGAAGTGCAATGCTCGCACCTATTCGGGCAATAAGCCTCAGCTTGCCAGCAGACTTCAGAACCATCTGGGGTCTGCAAATAGTTGTCACAAATGGCCAATGTCATAGTGAAAATGATGATTATCAGTGGATGTCGGGGGGTTCCCCTGAATTTTCGGACAATCCATGACGCAAGGACACTGAATGTGGACAAGCGACGAGCAGCCTAGGGGCGGAAAATCCACGAGCTGCAAAACATTCAAATTCATGGTCTCACCAAAGAAGAAGATCAATTAAAGATATGTCTTAGTTATGATTGTGAATCATGTATCATGACATATCATGACATATCATGACATATCATTACATATCATTACATATCATTGATAATCATCATAACATCATTATGATCTGAAAATATATTTTTTAAAAAACTATGATCAAAGCCCAGTGGGGGCCCATTTTTGGGCCCAGTGGGCGATTGACGTGTCATTTCGTCAAGATACGGTCAAGCTTGGCCCGAAGCACCTCAGCCTCCTGCGCAGCATTCTCCATGGCCTGCCTCTCACCTGGTGGCCAGTCACCAACATCCGGGGTTCAAAGAAAAAACACTGAGCCGTACCAAGATCCCCCACGTCTCATGGCTTTGTTTACGAAAATCTACTGTAGTTGATCGTCATTGCCCCGCTGAAGTTGCCATTTGGATCCATTTGGTGGTATTTTGAGATGATGGGACACGTCCTGCCCATGATATTGAATCAAATTTGAGTTACGCTCATTGCGGAAGATGTCGGTGGCAAAAATCTTGGACCGAGAGTCCTCGGATGGGAAAGCAAGACCCCCGACCACGGCCCTACTAGACCCACCAGACCCGAAGGGTCACATGTTTCCCGAAATGACAGTACCCCTAATTATCATCCATTTTAATAGGATGTTCCCTAAAAAAAAACATCCGGCTGTTGGGGGACCCCCATATCAACCTCCACATTGACCAATCCGTACATTGTATGGCAAGATTCCGTTGCAGTGGAGGTGAGGAAGGCTCCGCGCGCTGCACAATACAGGGCCTCTGAGACGTGAGAATACTCTTGACCTGAAGCTACAAGCATTGGGTGGGTTTTGGTTGGGAAAATTACAAAAATTACAAGAACCTGTTTTTTTAACCCCGGAAAATTCTGGCGTTTCCTGTCACTTCCCCAGTTCATCCAATTCTGAGATACAAACTGCAAGTATGATTGAAGGCAACTGATAAGGTTAGCCAATCTGGCAATACTGATTGACAAGACACTCAAACGACTTCGCATTCAGCTCAAAGAACCCAATGCTCAAACATACACCTTCTCAAATAAATTCAATGAAGTAGTAAGAATCTCGAGGAAACCATTGGTTTTTTTGCCATGGCATCGTGGAACATTGATAAACATCCGGCACTGAGCCCCCCACGAATCTGTTGACCTGATCCAAAGTCAGTTGGGTGCTGGACGCCAGCGGACGACTTGAATCCCTCATGGATGATCCCCTGAAAAACCATGGAACAACCAACAAAAATGCAAATAAGCATAACAATAATTGAAAACCCAAACGTAGCACTAACAACCTTTTCTACCACCGTTGCACTAGTAAGCCAAAAGGGCTGGGGTGAAACCACTACAAACCAACTAGCCTAGCTCAAGCCCTTACCTGTACATGTTGAATGGGACCTCAGATCTAGACACGCCTCCCGAGTGTGGAAGCAGAGCTTGCATACGAGTACAGACTGAGGTGTATCCCATCAGACACGGCTCAAGCCCTTTCAGAGCGTGGAGCGAAACGAATCTACACACGCAAAGCCAAAGGATGACTTCCAGACTTGAACTCGAAAGACATGAGATCGAGGAGTTGCTTGATTCTTGGCCCTTCAGATGCTTTAGTCATGAGGTCAGCCCACATTTCCTGAGTGCTCCTCTTGCGCAAACTGATCTTGCCTTCCTGCACGCAGTCTTGGATCCAAAGGAAGGATGTGTCAATGTGCTTGACCCGCCCAAGACCACGACGACTACCTATGGCAATGCCGCTGGTAGCATCCATGTTGATCACGAGCGGGCAGCAGATGCCCCAGTCCTTCAGCATGGACTGTTCTCCTAGACCGTGAGAGGCAGAGCTGATAAGACCATAGAACTCCGCTTCGGCGCTGGACAGTGCTATCAGAGCTTGCCCCTTGCAACGGGCATCAATGCATGAGCTGCCCAAAGCGATCACAGTGCCGCTGGTCGATTTCCGACTACGGATGCACCCGGCATGGTCGCTGTCGGACCAGACTGTGAGTTCGGTGATCTTGTCCTGGTTGTTGAACTTCTGCACTAGTCGTCCATGACCACTCAAGTACCTCCCTATTCTTTTGAGGAGAGACCAGTGATGACAAGTAGGATGTTGCAAGCCTTTAGCCAGCTCTCGTGTGGATCGCAAAAGATCTGGCCTGTCTGAAGCCAAATACCCAATGCGCATCGCAATGGATCTGTAGCGGCTAGCGTCCTGATCAGACAGCGGAGTCTCATCAACTTCTTCAGAAGCTTTGGCTTTCAGCAAAGGTGTAGTGACAGGGACACTGCCTTTGAGACCCAAGTCTGTCACGATCAGTTCTACGTGCCGTGGGTCGGCCTCAAGTACAATGCCGGTATCCGACCACGTGATCAAGCGGTTCAAGACTGACAGTTGTTGAACACAATCGGGCAAATTGCTGTCAGGAGGAGCAAGGATGCCTCGGGTTTCAACGGTCCATGCTTCCGCAAGATGATCACGCAGCCAAATGGCATCTTTGTGCCCAGTTAGGACCATGAAGTCGTCTCCATGGACAGAGCACAGAACGCGCCGCTGTGGATGGTAGTACAAACCAGGCGACGACCGGCCTTGCTGGAAACCCAGTTGCACCATCACATCGCGAATTGCCATTTCCCAGTTAAGGGGAGCATCCCTTGTTCCGTACAAGGAACGGTGAAGGAGTCCCACATAGTCTTTGGACAGTCCAAGTTCGTCGGGCAATTCAACCAGTATCCTTCGACGGGCTGGGGCCCAGAAATGAGCCTTCTTGATGTCGAGAAACATCAAGACCCTGTCCTTTGGCATAGGTTGCAGTTTTCCTGCCATGTCCGGTACCCGCGCAGTGGTGGCCAAAGCAAGGAGGGCCTTCATGGCGGATAATGGGGGCATGGCTGCGAAGAAGTCTGCCCAATGGCTTTCGGGCATTCCAGTGTGGGATGGCTTGCGACGCAGCTCTTGCGCCACAATGCGGCTTCTGAGTTTTGGTCTCAGATTGTCGCCCTTGTTGATGTCGATCCATCTTGTGCCTATGGTCCTTTCATTCCTAGGTCTTTTGATGACCTCCCAGACACCCATCTGCTTGATCACCTGCAGTTCCTCATACCTTGCTTCCATAACGCCCTTAGAGGGGAGTGGCTTGCCAGTGTTGTCATCGTAGAAGGACTGCTCCAGGAACCATGGCTCGAACTCGTCTTTTATATCAGCAAGTGGGCGGTGCGGTTGCTCTGCAATCAGGTTTGCAAGGACAGCAGAGCGGTGCGCAGCAAGAGCACCATCTACCAGATCTTCGCCCTGCGCCAGCAGCTGGTCCAGGTCGCCTCCTGGCTCCAAAGGTCTTTTCTGAGCTTCTGCGCGCGTGTCTGACTCAAGAACCCTGATCCTGTCCTCATCCCCTTGGTCTTGAGCAACACGCTTTCGTGAGGAGGGAGCAGGAATTCCAGAGGTTGTTGGCGAAGCACGCGCGACTTTCTGTCGCATTGTTGACGCCGGCTCATACAGAGGCCTCTTCTTATCTTCTGGGTCGACGGGCTGCTCAACTTCCATGGTTGGAGTCATCGGCATGGGGCTGTGAGAAACAGGCGCGCTAGGCAAAGGCGTGCCCTGCTCAAGGGTAGAAGGCAAAGCGCGCGACGACGCCGATGCTTTTGACACAGTATCCTCCCGCTCAATGTACCTGGCAAGGTACTTGTTTTCGCGTTCCAGGTTCGCTTCAAGGCGATCTTTCCCTGCCGGAGTGTCCTTGAGACGACTGGTGATCCGATCACGGCAATGATCCGAATGGAGTATGCCAGCACGAGAGCGACCTTCACGCAATGCGTCGCAGGCGCTGCAACCTGCGGTAAAACCGAATTGGTCGAAATCGGCTTTCCTCAAGTACATCCTGCGCCCCGCTTCTTCCTTTGGCGCGGGCCGAACCGGTCCCTGCACCACAGCGTCCGGAAGTTCCGGAGCAATGTCAGCAGGAGCAGGAATGGACGTGGGACCTTCAGGCTTCAGGCTCCAAGGAAGAGATTTGAACTCTTTCAAGAAGTCCATGTCCCATTGCGAAGAAGGCGGCTTTCGCTTGAGGGATTGGACCACAAACGTCCCTTGGGCAGTTCCTATGATTTTCTCGCTGGAGGTGATGCGAGTTCCAAGGTAGATGCCAGATTCCCACCGAGGCTCAGATTTGGTTTCCGTGCGCTTGCGGAACTCCACAATTTCACCGAAGCATGGCAGCGGTATGTGCCAAGCTCTCCCCTTGATTCGCTGGAACGGCGTCAAGCCATCCTTCAGCTCTGTGTCCTTTGAGAAGAGCAGATGCAAAGTTGCAGCGTGCTCAACCGCCCAAGCAATGACAGGGGAAGTATTGCCGAGTGGTTGCCCAGTCTTTTCTTCAATGTGCGAGACAAGCGTTCTGACCATTCCCTGGATGGTTTGGACCGCACGTTCAGCCTCGCCATTGCTCTGCCCGTGCGCGTCACCTTTGGGGGCATCTTCGCACGTGACTTCTGCGGGGTAGCCATTGGCAACCGCTTCACGGAGAGCTTTCAAAGAACTTTCCTGATCACTTTTGAGAACAAGCCGCTTGTAACCCAGAAATGCAAGATTGCGGAGGATTGCACGCTCGGGAAAACTGCTGTACGCAACGCCTTTGTGAGGGAGAAGGTGAGCGAAGATTGCCTTGCTTTTTCTGTCGCGAAGAACGACAAAGGGAAGGCCATCGCCAAGGAACCCGTAATCCATGGACAGAGTTGGGATTAAGTTGTCCGAGTGGTCTACCCGGCGATGCTGCATTGTTCGCCCTCGCCCACGCACGCAAGCAGTGCACCAGGCGCGGTACGGTATATGGGAGACTTCATGTTCGCGGATCATCCGCTCTGTGGGCTGGTCGGGAGTGGACAACGGCTGCGCAAGTTGAGCTTCGTCAGCTTCGAGCAAGCCTTCGGAAGCCTCCTGCCGGTTGGCAGCCTCAGTCCCTTCGACTGCAGCTTGAGGCACTTGGACCGGTTGAATTTCAGGAACGGCTTGAACCAAACCTGTTCCTGTCCTACCCCGAACTAGCGCTTGGCAAAATGCCAAGCCGAGCCCCTTTTGAAACTGTACAGTAAAGGGTGGACTACAAGGAAAATTGCTAGGTGAAACACTTGAGCCATTTGGAAAAGAAAGGATGGGATCGAACTCTCTAGTCTTAGACTTTTCAAGAGTAAACACTGAGTAAACCCTGCTCGAACCCTGTTCGTCCAAAACCGCACACTTTTGCTGCGCGCTGGCTGCCAGTCTGGGCCTTACGCCTGAGTCATCTTTGGCTGCCCGGGAAAAGGCATCAGCACCCATGTGCTGAAGGTGGGCACACCAGTACTGAGGTCAAGATTGATGCGCTGGCCACTCTTCATTTGGATGTAGGAGCACTTTGCATCCATCACTACTTTATGCCCATTTTGCAAAACTTTCGTCATGGACAGCAGAGGACGCTTCACGTCAGCCACGCTCCAGTTGGAAGAGAACTTGCGCCAGTCTGGCAGGTACATGTCCATTGTGACGCTGCCAAGGTTAGGGATTTTGAACCCTGTCGCCGTGGCAAACTCTTTAACGCCTTTGACAGGACCCATGCACTGTTGCTTGGCAAGGTGCGCTGGCATCACGTTGTCTGATGCTCCAGAGTCCAAAGTCACAACCAATTTCTGCCACTTAGTTTGCGCAGACTTCGCCTCCTCCACCGGTGACTCCAGGGCTAGGACCCGTCCACTGGCGGCGTCCTTGCCATTCCACCATGGCGGTGGTCCAGGTGGCGGACTTGGCTTGAGTTGTTTTGGCTCGGGTCGAACCGACCCTGAGCCAGCTTTATTTTCAGAGGGAGGTGGCCCAGGCGGAGACTTGTGACAGGAAAGCGCAGCCTCCGCTGCCTGCTTCCTTTTCAGCCTTCCTTCCTCGCGCCTCGCCTTGGCTTGTTTCTGCTGCCAAGTTTTCTGCTTCTTTCCTGACTTGCTCCATTGCCTTTTTCGCACAGTAGGGCAAGCTTCCTCCCACTCTTGCCTGCAGTCCAGACGCTCACTCTTGGTCAACGGAGCAGAAACCTCATCCTCCAGATGAGGCATCAGTGGGTATGCTTTCTCCTTGCGCGAAGCAGCGCCAGGAGCACGGTGTTTGACCGTCCACTCCTCTTCCAACGCCATGCGTTCGGCAGCTCGCTCTGGCCTTGATTGTTGGCGGTGTTTGCCAGCTCGAAGACGAGATTTCTCCTTTCGCCATGCCTCTCGGGCATTCTTGCCAGCCTCAATGTCTGCCTGGAAACGTCTGCTGCGAGAACGGCGGACATCTTGGCCTTGTGCTTTTGCCTTCTCGGATTGAGCCTGTAGTTCTTGCCGTGACTTGCGCAAAGACTCAAGCTCCTCCAGGTCGCCATCTTCCTCTGCCTTTGCCATGGCCACGCGAAGGTCCTGCATGCAGCTTGCCATTTGACTGGACAGAGCCCTGGTGGCCATTCGCAGTCCAGTGGGCGCGCTGCTTGCAGAGTTGTCGCCGTAGACCTTGTTAGAGGCTGGGCAGGTACTCACGTATTGGCTGGCGAGCGGGGTGGAACTGGAGGATGGCTCGGACTGAAGCAGTCCTAAGCCACAAAGCTTTTCCAAAGCCGAGCCAGTGGGAAGACTTTCTTTCCACAGGCAGTCTTCGTAGTAGTCGGCCTCATCCGGATCTTCAGCTAATTCCACGGCCTTGTTCAGCATGGACTTCTCCTCAGCTGTCAGGACGGAAAGGAAGCCGATGTCTGCAAATTCTTCTGCGTCCTCTTGCTCTCCTTCTGGCTCCTCATTCTCTTCTTCCCCGCCATCCAGCTCTGCAGCGGATCCTTTCTTGCCGCCACCCTTGCCGCGACCTTTCCCACGGCCCTTGGGCGGTGGTTTCTTCCTCCCTTCAGCCTTGAGTTGCCTGCAGTCACGCTTGAAGTGACCAGGCTTGCCACAGTGGTGGCACAAGTCCTCTTTGGTGGCAGCACGTTTCCCTTTTCCAGAACCTTTTGTCAGCGCATCCACGTCCATGGGTTGGGCTCCAGAAGAGTCGTCAGCTTCTCGCTGTCGCTTCTGCTCTGCGTAGGCCAGCACCTCATTGCGTAGGAGACCATAGCTGTTCAAACGGCCCAGGTTCAAGTCCAGGTACTCCCGCAGAGCATCAGGAACCATAGCCAACAGCACCACACGTGCTTGCTCATCAGTCAAGTCGCTGCACCCTGGCCTCTTTGCGTAGTCTGACCGCAAGCTCTCCCATCTTTCAAGGGAAGGGTGGAGCTCAGAGATGTCCGTGACCTGGGATGGAGACATGATCTTCCGCAGTAGCCGCAGATTGGACAGAGGGTTGTTTGGGTTCAGCCTTGCAGACAGTCTGCGCCATGCATCGCACCCAGATCCACGGTGTGAGTTGAAGACAATATCGCCAGGCACATCCTTTGTCAAGGAAGCTAGTGTCACTTCAAGTTGCCGGTTCAGCTGGGGAAGTGTCTCAAAACCTGGTTCTGCAGCCTTTGCTGTGAGCACTGCTTGGTCGATGGTGGCCGTTTCAGCTTCGCACCATCTCAGCACTTGAGCTCCATTTTCCCACTGGGAGGCCAGCCACAGTTCGTACTTGTAGCTCCACTGCCGCCAAGTTGACGTAGCTTGGTCAAGGTTCCCACCAAGAGACTCTGGGCGACCAACTGCCTTCAAGTCCACTAAGCCCCGGGGATGCGCAGGAGCCTGCCGCTCTACTAGTCTGGCCAGGTTATCCAGCTGCGCCTGTTGCCCCATCATGAGCTGCTGCTGTTGTTGCAACATCTGCATCAGCATCTGCTCAGCTTGGCCTGATCTGCTGCCTCCTCCAGTGGGTGACCCCTGGCCTGATGGCGACGCCATCGTTGGCACGGATCGAAACGATCCTGTGCCGGCTCAGGAGAGCGGAGTGTCGAAGATCCTGTGGATCACTCAGCAACCAGGAGCTCGGCTACCATGAAAACCCAAACGTAGCACTAACAACCTTTTCTACCACCGTTGCACTAGTAAGCCAAAAGGGCTGGGGTGAAACCACTACAAACCAACTAGCCTAGCTCAAGCCCTTACCTGTACATGTTGAATGGGACCTCAGATCTAGACAATAATAATAACAATAATAATAGTAGTAAAGATGATAATGATAATTGATGATTTTTGTTGGAATTCTTTTAAAATTATACCTAGTAATACTGATGAGTTACAACTATGGTTATAACCAGTTACCAAGTGGGATGATCCTCCAACAACTATCCTTCCACATGAGGGTTATATCAATGATGTTGAATGTTCTGTCCATTGATATCTCAGGGGAACATGTCCCACCCCTTCTCCAGTCACATTCACATCTGAGCGGCTGTATGCTTCATACTGCGGCCACGGCCGGCCTAAGACTGCCATGTCGAAGTCCATGAAGAGTTTGCAATCCATCTCATCATCCTCTGTACATTTGTGATGAGCTGTTTGCACCTCGGCATAGCAGTTCTGGATGTTCTGGGGAAATCCCAGCTTTCAGGTTTGTGTGAAAAACTCTGCAGAAATGCATGACACCGACAGGCTGAGGAAGCAACTATCCATCTCCTCACCTGGCGAATGAGAAAGGCGCAAACCTTGCAATTTTACACATGTAGAAACAAGGCCAGAAACAAAGAAATGACGATAAATCCACTGGTAATCATCATACAAGTCACAGGACCAACCAATACCAAAAATCAAGCAAAGCGTTGCCAACTTCACCAACTTGATACCAAACTTGTAGGCAGTCCGGCCTTCATAGCTCTAAATCCTCGTTCACTGCCACCAGGTAAGGCTTCCTGGACAAAGTGGTCGAAAACATCGGCACTGTCGATCTCATTCCTCAGAATCCCACGGTAACCTCGTGTCCCCGTGATTTTTTGACACCATATTTCTGCTGATTTTTCGACAGAATCCCCTGGTATCACACAAAATCACACGGGTGTATGGATCAAGATGGTCAGACCCAAGGACCGTTTCGAAGAGCTTGTATAATATGGATGATCTGAATGAAACGTCAAAAAGAGTTTGTCATGGGGGCAGTAAGAGTAGTCCATGGGCCGCTATAGTTCAAACGATCAAGGAATAAATAGGAATAGGACTTTGTGAGTGGCAACTTGTCCATTCTGAAAATCACTGGACCGGCAACAACTCCAGCTTCAAATGTACCACTTCAAATCGCTCATCATGGGTGCTCACAGACAGACGGCAACCGCGAGATTTGGTTCTGATGTCATCTGCTGAATGTTCCAAGATGCTGCGGACTCCCAGCTTTCGGATCATAGATCACATCGTGGAAAAAGATTGCCAGGCTCACAGATGCAGCATCGGAGATCAGTTTCAAATGTTCCTGCCACTGCATTTCGTTTTTCGCTTCTTTAAACATTTTGGGGACAATTGCTAGGAAATCAGAACTGATTCATAGCTATTGAAAGTGTGTAACTACGCGTTTACCGATTCAGTCCTCAAAGAAGCCAAACATTTCATCCAAGTGAGACAGTGTGTGGTAAGCTCTCTGCGACTCTGTGTAACCTGGCAGTGCACAGGTTATGGTGGGTGGTAATCCAGTAGTGGATTCACCCAATGGGGATAGGGTTTTACCATCTATTTATGGTGATATTGGGGACGATTCAACTTCGATTTACCATAAATGGTTGGTAAATCCAATGTCATTAGAAATGGTCGGTAAATCCACTTGCCACCCATTTTACCAAACAGTGCCAACCGTTTACTAAGCGTTTACCAACCCTTTACATTATTTACCGACCATTACTTCAGCAAGGCTAAGCAACGATTCTTCAGCACGTTCCACCACTTCTGCTCCATGTCTTTGGACACACCAAGACCCTGGCAGAGCTCCTGGTCACAGACAGCCGTTGCTGGTGGAAGATTGGCGGGCGCAAGCTTGGGTGTTCTGTGAAGGAAGTGCTTGGCATCAGGGCAATACGTATGTATGTATGTATATATACATATATATTTATTTACGTATGTGTGTATGTATGCATGTGTTTATCTATGTATCTATGTATCTATGTATGTATATATATATACATATGTACGTATGTGTGTATGTATGTATGTGTTTATCTATGTATCTATGTATCTATGTATCTATGTATCTAGGTATGTGTGTATGTGTGTGTGTATGTGTGTATGTGTGTATGTGTGTATGTGTGTGTGTATGTATGTATGTATGTATGTATGTATGTATGTATGTATGTATGTATGTATGTATGTATGTATCTATCTATCTATCTATCTATGTATCTATCTATGTATGTATCTATGTATGTATCTATGTATGTATCTATGTATGTATCTATGTATGTATCTATGTATGTATCTATGTATGTATCTATGTATCTATGTATGTATCTATGTATCTATGTATCTATGTATCTATGTATCAATGTATCAATGTATCTATGTATGTATCTATGTATCTATGTATCTATGTATCTATGTATCTATGTATCAATGTATCTATGTATCTATGTATGTTTGTTATGTATGTTTGTTATGTATGTTTGTTATGGATGTATGCATGCATGCATGCATGCATGTATGTCTGTATGTGTGTGTGTGTATGTGTGTATATGTGTATATATATATATATATATGTGTATACATATGTATATGTATATGTGTAGGTACATATGTATGTATAATATATCAATATATTATATAGAATATATATATATATATCACTGCATATATATATATTATTATATATATAATAGCATATTATAATACACATATATCCGCCGACCCCGGCAGACGCAAGGGGGAGCGCGCCAGGGAATAAGACAAGCAAAGACAAGCAATGGCCAGTAGCCAGCAGCTTATATATATATATCCGCCGACCCCGGCAGACGCAAGGGGGAGCGCGCCAGGGAATAATACTTTTGATTCTTGTTTCGGACTACTACCGCTGCAGGGGTTTCAGAAGGGACGTTGGGCACTTTTTGGGCTCGATTTTGGCGCTGTTCCGTCCTTCAGGGCCACTGTGTTTCCCCGTCCGGGAGGGTGCGTTTTCAGCCTTGTTTCGGACTACTACCGCAGCAGGCGCAGCAGCAGCAGCAGGAGAAGTAAAGCAAAGACAAGCAAGTTTAGCCGCACCAGCAGCAGGAGCAGCAGCAGCAGCAGTAGCATCAGCAGACGCCAGCACCAGCATCACCAGCAGCAGCAGCAGCAGCTGCAGTACAGTAGCAGGAACAGCAAGAATAGCTGCAACAGCAGCGCAGCGGACGCCTGCACCACCACCAACAGCAGTAGCTGCAAAAATGTTGTTCTTCGGGGCAGCACACCACCAGCAGCAGCAGCCAGCAGCAGCAGCGCAGCAGCAGCAGCAGCAGCAGCAGCAGCAGCAGCAGCAGGTCAAGCCCCGGGGCAGCATGTTTTTGGAGGTCGTTCCATCCTTCAGTAGCATGGTGTTTCGGTGTGGCGAAGGGTGTGTTTTCGAGGCTTGCAGCGTTCCGTCCCTCAGGGCCAGTGTGTTTCCTTGTCCGGCAGGGTGCGTTTTGAGCCTCCGGAGGAAGAGCAGCAGCAGCAACAGGAGCAACAGGAGGGTTCTATGTCTCATTGTACAAACAGTGATATAAAAATTGGTTGAAAACTATAAAAACTTGTCCAAAACTATTGTTTTTCTAGGGTTTCAGAAGGGACGTTAGGCACTTTTTGGGCTCGATTTTGGCGCTGTTCCGTCCTTCAGGGCCACTGTGTTTCCCCGTCCGGGAGGGTGCGTTTTCAGCCTCGGGAGGAAGAGCAGCAGCAGCAACAGGAGCAACAGGAGGGTTCTATGTCTCATTGTACAAACAGTGGTATAAAAATTGGTCGAAAACTATAAAACCTTGTCCAAAACTATTGTTTTTCTAGGGTTTCAGAAGGGACGTTAGGCACTTTTTGGGCTCGATTTTGGCGCTGTTCCGTCCTTCAGGGCCACTGTGTTTCCCCGTCCGGGAGGGTGCGTTTTCAGTCTCGGGAGGAAGAGCTGCAGCAGTACAAACAGTGGTATAAAAATTGGTCGAAAACTAAAAACTTGTCCAAAACTATTGTTTTTCTACGGTTTCAGAAGGGACGTTAGGCAGTTTTTGGTGTCGATTTTGGCGCTGTTCCGTCCTTCAGGGCCACTGTGTTTCCCGTCCGGCAGGGTGCGTTTTCAGTCTCGGGAGGAAGAGCAACGGGAGCAGCAGGAGGGTTCTATATCTTATTATACAAACAGTGGTATAACAATTGGTCGAAAACTGAAAATAATCATAAAAACTTGTCCAAAACTATTGTTTTTCTAGGGTTTCAGAAGGGACGTTAGGCAGTTTTTGGGGTCGATTTTGGCGCTGTTCCGTTCCTCAGGGCCACTGTGTTTCCCTGTCCGGCAGGGTGCGTTTTGAGCCTCGGGAGGAAGAGCAGCAGCAGCAACACGAGCAACAGAGGGTTCTATGTCTCATTGTACAAACAGTGGTATAAAAATTGGTCGAAAACTATAAAAACTTGTCCAAAACTATTGTTTTTCTAGGGTTTCAGAAGGGACGTTAGGCACTTTTTGGGCTCGATTTTGGCGCTGTTCCGTCCTTCAGGGCCACTGTGTTTCCCCGTCCGGGAGGGTGCGTTTTCAGCCTCGGGAGGAAGAGCAGCAGCAGCAGCAACAGGAGCAACAGGAGGGTTCTATGTCTCACTGTACCAACAGTGGTATAAAAATTGGTCGAAAACTATAAAAACCTTGTCCAAAACTATTGTTTTTCTAGGGTTTCAGAAGGCACGTTAGGCACTTTTTGGGCTCGATTTGGCGCTGGTCCGTCCTTCAGGGACACTGTGTTTCCCTGTCCGGGAGGGTGCGTTTTCAGCCTCGGGAGGAAGAGCAGCAGCAGCAACAGGAGCAGCAGGAGGGTTCTATGTCTCATTGTACAAACAGTGGTATAAAAATTGGTTGAAAACTATAAAAACTTGTCCAAAACTATTGTTTTTCTAGGGTTTCAGAAGGGACGTTAGGGACTTTTTGGGCTCGATTTTGGCGCTGTTCCGTCCTTCAGGGCCACTGTGTTTCCCTGTCCGGGAGGGTGCGTTTTGAGCCTCGGGAGGAAGAGCAGCAGCAGCAACAGGAGCAACAGGAGGGTTCTATGTCTCATTGTACAAACAGTGGTATAAAAATTGGTTGAAAACTATAAAAACTTGTCCAAAACTACTATTGTTTTTCTAGGGTTTCAGAAGGGGCGTTAGGCACTTTTTGGGCTCGATTTTGGCGCTGTTCCGTCCTTCAGGGCCACTGTGTTTCCCCGTCCGGCAGGGTGTGTTTTCAGCCTCGGGAGGAAGAGCAGCAGCAGCAACAGGAGCAGCAGGAGGGTTCTATGTCTCATTTTACAAACAGTGGTACAAAAACTGGTTGAAAACTATCAGCAGCAGCAGCAGCAGGGGTCAAAAATAGAGTTTCATTTAGGATTTCATTCATGAGGGGTCAAAAAAACACGGGGGAGGTCAAAAAACAAGGTGGGGGATCAAAAAAAACAAGGGCCCCGTATACTTTCATAAAATATCATGCACCTGTGCGGCGCAACCATGCACCTGTGCAGCGCAACACTAGCTGTATAATAATAGGGCCAAAAATATCGTATATATACATATATACATATGTATATATATATTGTGATTTCAGCCTGCCGTTTACCATTCCATTCTCCCTGGGTGCCATTATCCATAATGCATGAGAGATCACGGAGTGACCAGGGCGTATCCATTCCTGCAGCCGCTGGGCGCAAAGCTGAGGGCTAAGGTGGCTGGGAGCCCCTTCGACCGCGGACGGTCGCGTTGCAGCCATTGGATAAAACAAAGCGCGAGGACGTGCTTCTCTTGGGGCTCAGGTGGGCCATAGGATTCATTTTGGAGGAGGACAAAGGGCTACCAGTGTGCAATACTCACATTGGTAGCGGAGCTGTGTGCAGCCAGCTCGCTACAACAAGTCTTGGTGTCTGGAAGCTGTAGATCCAGGGATTGACAATGGATGGTTCAGGAGAGCAGACTGGTGGCCCAACCTCCACTTCGTCAGGAACATCCTCAGGAGGACTGTCTCATTTGCCTTGGAGTCAAATTCCAATTTTTCGCCCAGGCGAAACAGACATTCATGAATACTCACGAAAACTGGAGTTTCTAGCTGGATTATGGCCAGTGGAACATATCGCACTTCTAGCTCCTCGAGCAGCCATGATGTGTGAGGGCAGCGCATTTCAGAGAGTCATGAGAATCGATGCCTCAAAGCTGAAAACCAATTCAGTTGAAGGGGTGAAGGCCCTAGTCAAAGCCTTAGGTGGCATCTGGGGCAAGACAAATCTGGAAGATCGTTTTGAAAAGTTCGAACGTGCTGTCTATACCACGGTGCAACGTGGAGATGAAACCCATGAGTCATATCTAGCTCGACACGATCATCAATTTGAGTCCTTGCTGAGTTCTGGTGTTTCCATGGAACAACTCAGAGCCTATGTTTTGCTTCGCAATTCAGGGTTAGCCTCCGAGGACAAGAAACGGTTGATCATTGATTCTGCAGGAACGTTAGAATATTCAGAAGTTGTCAAGTCTTTGAAGCTGCTTGGATCGAAGTTCTTTCAGGAAGTTCATGCTGGAAACAAGAACCCATCTCGAAGTCGTACGTATGATATCAACATGGCCATGGAGGATGAGGTTTACATGAATCCCAGTGGAAGTTCTAGCCATGAGGAACCGATCTTCGTCAGTGAAACTGATGAAAGCTTCATCGAAGCTTTGGCTGAAGAGGGCGACCCTGATGCTCTCGTATGCCAACAGTTTGAAGATGCTGTGCTGGAAGTGTTACAAAATGACACTGAGACTGCCAGCTGCTATCTCACCTACACAGAGGCCCGCCAGAGGCTTTCAGATCGCAATCGAAACCGTGGATTTTGGAGCCCCGGGCCATCAAAGTCCAATGCCAAAGGTAACAAAGGTCGTGGAAAAGGAAAGTTCACGCCTCGCCCGAGGCGATCTCTGGCCTCTCGCATTTTGGAATCAGAGTGCAGACGCTGTGGCCAGAAAGGCCATTGGAAAGCAGAATGCCCACTTCGCCTTTCAGGAGCCAATTCCAATGCATCCGGCCAGACCAAGGAGAACTCCACGTTCATGACCATGACTATGACCCCTGAAGCCAACGCAGTGGATGGCAGTGACATGATTCCCATGGATGAGTTGAATGTTGCTTCGCCTCAGGGAGATAAGTTTTGGGATAACGGAGTTCAGGAATGTTTTATGATGATCGATAAAGGGGATAATCACGAGAACATGTCTCAGCGTTTCCGACGCATGTCGCAAAGGTTGATGCCCATGATCAAGCAACGCCTGATGCCTGACAGTAGCCCTCAGCCTGTGCCAAGATTCGCTGAAACCAGCAATGCCAAGGAAGTCCAACCAGAGAATGTTTTCTTTGCCAGCCACGGGTCATACGGAATAGTTGACTTAGGAGCCAGTCAGTCAGTCATTGGTCAACGTCAGCTTGCACAAGTGTTGGCCTCTTTTCAGCCTGAGATCCGTGCCCAGATCCGTGAAACTAGCTGTGATACAGTGTTCAGGTTCGGTAATAGCAGTACAGTGCACTGTCGGAAAGCCTTGTTGATTCCCTTGGGACGATGGTTTGTCAAGTTGTGCATCGTGCCATCTGATACTCCATTTTTGCTTTCAAACAATATGTTTCGAACCTTGGGTGCACAAATCAATACTGCCACGGACCGAGTTTTCCTGCCAGGTGTGAACATCAGCATGGATCTTGTGTTGACCGAGAAAAAGCTGTATCTGTTGGATTTTGGAAAGTTGGTAAACATGTCTTTCAAACATGGTGCGCCCCTTCAGAAACCGATTCAACCACAGATCAGTAACATCATGTTAGTAGCCAACACTCATGAAGATGAAGGAGAGAAAACCCTGACTCTGACCGATCACGCTCAGCCAATCATGCCTTGTCACACGAAAGTGCCTGAGATTTCGTCCTGTCCGCCAGCAGGCAAGGATCAGATTGCTGTAGAGTTTCCCGAGACGTTAGATCCGCTCAAAACTTTGCCCAATGTCGTCGTCCCACAGTGTGTGTCCGACCAAAGGGAACTTGGCCGACCGTTTCCGCCGTGTGATGGAGACGTCGCAAGGGAGCCAAGAGGAACCAGATTACACCAAGATGACACTGGAAGAACTGGGGCAAAGTGTGATCACGTTTGGGGAGGCCAAGAAGGGTCAGACTTACGAGAAGGTGCTTCAAGGAGATCAGAGCTATGTGACATGGTTCACCACCAAGTTTGCACACAGCCAGAAGTACCATCACCGCCGATTCCTGTTCTATGTCCAAAAGTTTGTGGAACAGGCGGAGACCATTCAGGTGACTGCCCAACCCAAGAATCGCCCAGCTCCCAAGAGCAATCCTCACATGATGGTTCACCTCATCGACGAGGACACGCCAGTCCCAGAAGTGTCGGACGAAGAGAACTCTATGTGGGACATCATCGAGGAACAACGTCAACAGATCAGTCAACTGGAAAGCCATCAGAGTCAGAGGATCAACAGCTTGGAGGTGGCAATGGGGCAGATCGTTGGGCAACTTCAGGAACTGACTCGACACCTGAAGGGCGCCGAAGAGCAGTAGAATCAGCGGCAGTGACACCGATGTGCAACTCAAACACTGCTGGCAATTTGCCCTCTCATGACGTTCCCTCTAGAAACCCTGAAGTGGAAGAATGCATTGACGTTGAGTTTTTTCAGGATTGTTTCATGTCCAATCACATGCCTGATAACCATATTCGTCAGGAGATGTGGTCTTACTGGTGTGAGAGATTTCATGTTTCTAAACTTCAACAAGTTCAACAGCATTTTTCAAGACCAGGAATCGATGTACTTGAGGTTTACTGTTCGCAAGATAGCCAGCTGACTCACCAGTGTTTGAGCCAGGGATTGACAGCTGCCCGCTTCAGCCGCAAGCAAGGTGACCTCAACACCATCACTGGACGTCACATGTTATATGACATGATATGGCAACTTCGACCAAAGCACGTATGGGTCGCACCCACATGTAAACCATGGTGTTGTTGGAGCCGCTTGAACGCTGCCAAGTCTGAAACCCTTGCACAGCGGATCGATCAGGAACGCCGGAGTGAGAATGTCCATCTTCTTCTCTGCGATGCACTGCTTCATTTGCAGCTGTGGCGTGCCAATGATTGTCATTTTCACCTTGAACAACCACAGGGTTCAGAACTGATTCATCAACGAGAAATGCACCAAGTGATGTTACACACCTTCCGAGCCATTTGTGACATGTGTAATGCGGGGAAATTACAACACCCTGAAACCGGGAACCCACTGCGAAAGAGGACTCAAATCCTTACCACATCACAAATCATGTATCATGCTTTGAAAAAACTGCAGTGCCTAGGTGACCATGCCCATGACGCCATTCAAGGTAGTTGCAAACCCCATGGATTTTCTCGCATGCCATTGACCCGATATACTGAACTGTATACCGCCACTTTTGGTCGCAAAGTGAGCCGTGTCATCCGATGTAGTTTGCAAGCCCAAGAAAAACAAGGTGTGCCTCTGCAGAGCGAAGACTCAGCAGTTTTGCAGGCCATCGTCTGTGCTGCCCGGAACGAAGATTCCGAAATTAAGGTTGATGAACCGGCTGGCAAACGACGCCGACTTGGGACCAAATCGAAGCCTGAGGAACTCTTTGTCCCGGATGATCAACAGAAAGCACTTGCCGAGACTATCAAGTTGATTGAGAATCAAACACCACGGGTAGGCAAACAGATCTTTCAAGATGGAGATGTAATCGTTCAAGTTCAAGCCCTATTCCCCGAAATGAATGTCAAGGTAGTCGAATCATGTCGAGGTGTGGATCGCAAAAGGGAACTTCCAATTCCGGCTCCTGCTCATTTGTTGCCTTTTCGTCGAACGTTTGGGAAAGACCGACAGGAGCAAAAGATATATTGCGATTCTGAATGGGAACGATGGGACAAACTTTCCAAAAGACAGATTCGCAGAGCCGGGATTCCATCCAAGATTGCCATTACTGTATTTGCTTCACCCAAGATCACTGAAGGGAATTTGGAACAAGCTATCAGTAGCAATGTAGGAGTCCCTAAGGTACAACACGAACGACCACCAGTGGAAACAGACATGCCAGTGAAGAAGGTCCGTTTTGCCGAACCTCCCACAGATAAATCACCTGTAGATGCCATCGAACTCCAGGAGGAACAGACTGTACCAGAGGAACTTACGTGTCCCAAGTCACAACTGGAACAAAAGTCAGTTCCAACGCATGGCCCTATGTTCCGTGGACTGCCTCAACCGTTGCAACAAATGATCATCAAGGTGCATAAGAATCTTGGCCACCCTGACATCCGTCAGCTGCAGCAGGCCCTGAAGAGAAACGGCTGGTCTGATGTCATTATCCAAGCTGTTCAAGATTTTCAATGTGATGTGTGTTTCGAGAAATCTCAACCAAAAGCACCACGACCAGCACACATACATGCACCTCGCGAGTTCAACGACTTGGTTGTGTTCGATGGCGTAGATTGGTCAGATGGACAAGGGAACAAATACACTTTTGTACATTTTCTTGACACTGCCACCAATTTTCAAATAGCCGTACCATTTTTTCGACAGTCCACTGAAGAGTTCATGGAATGTTTTCGAAACACATGGATGCGATGGGCAGGGGCCCCCCGAGAGGTCATGTTCGACAGTCAAACTGGTTTTAACAGCGAACAGTTCGGCCGTTTTCTCCAGGAACATAGCATCCGTAGCCATGTCATTCCAACAGGGGCACATTGGCAGATGGGACGCTGTGAACGGCACGGAGGCATTTTGCTTCGGATGTTAGACAAATTCCATGTCGACCAACCTATAGCTAACTGGCAGGACTTTGAAAGAGCACTGCAAATGCTATGTAATGCCAAGAACAGTTTGTCCAGACATGCCGGTTTCACCCCGGAAATTTTGGTTTTGGGGAAAAGTCAACATGTTCCAGGTAGTAACACTGATGACACCGATAGCGCTGGTTTTTTGGGTTTGGATGATCCGTCAGCCGACGGCAGCCGATTTGCCCAACAATTAGCCAAACGTGAAGCAGCCAGAATTGCATTTATCAAGGCAGACCACTGCCAAGCCTTGCGAAAAGCCATGCACGCTCGATCACGGCCTGATCGTATGCAGTTTGCTATCGGAGACCATGTCATGTACTGGAGACAAGGCAAAGGTGCAGAACCTGGGTCTTGGTATGGGCCGGCCCGGATAATCATGCTTGAACAACCCAATACTGTTTGGATCAGCCACATGACCAGACTTTACCGTTGTGCTCCAGAACATGTTCGGTCCGTTTCCTCTAGAGAAATGTCGCAGGGCCTTGAGCCAAGTGGAGACGTGCCTGATATGACATCAGGAGTGGTACAATTCCGAAACCTTCACAATCAGACCTCAGTGCCATCGAGAAGTGTGATCACCCCAAGGGTTGATACTGTGATGACTGATGACAGAAATTCCCATGAACATGACCCACCATCCGAGCATGCCAGTTCCAGCCCTGGTATTCAGCCAGATGCTGAACCTGAGACCATCTCATCACCCAACACAGCCAGCCATGACAGTACCACTCATAATCCCCATTTCAATAACCCTGAAGAGAATAACCCTCACCACACTGTAACACCTTCCTTAACTCAAGCCATCAATACCCCAGTGCCAGACAATGATGAAGGGTTGATTGTGGCGATGGAAATCGATCAATGGGAAATCCAAGGAGATCTCCTCATACGCCACCACAAGCGACCAAGACTGAATCGTTTCTTTCCCACTGATTGTTCTGACATGCCAGTGAGCCCACAAGATATTTCTCAACAGAGATCTACCGAAGGACGATATCGTGACGGGTCAAGTTTTTGCCAACATGACGTATGGAAGGATAATCCCGCAGCACACTGCTCACAACCCGATGTGTGGACAGGAAAGACAATCTTTCAACTGAAAAATTCTCCTACGGAAACCATCAATATGACCAGTCAACAGGATGTTCAACACAATGTCACTTCATTTGAAATTCTACTTACCACTGAAGATTTGAAACAATGTGCACAAAAGAACTACAAACAACAAGAGGTTTTTCTGGCATCCACCGCCAAGAAACAAAGAGCTGAAGTCAAAATGCATCAGCTAACTCCCCAAGAAAAGGAGTTATTCAAAAAGGCCAAGATCAAGGAGATTGAATCATGGTTAGCTACCGACACTGTTAGGAAAATCACCCGAAGTGCCATCCCTGAAGATCAATTGCTCAGAACTCGTTGGGTCCTTACGTGGAAAAGCATTGATGCCATTGAGCAACAAGAACTCGGCATGACAAAGAAACCAAAAGCCAGGTTGGTCATTCTGGGTTTTGAGGATCCATTCATAGACACATTGGAACGAGACAGTCCGACGCTTGGCCGTGACAGTAGGATGTTGGCCCTCCAGGTCATTGCCAGCCATCAGTGGCAAGTGCGGTCTTTCGACATTCGCACGGCATTCTTACGAGGATCTCGCCAAGACGGAAGAGTCCTGGGAATTGAACCCCCAGAAGAAATGAGGGAACTTATGGGATTGGACCATCAACATGTCTGCGAATTACTGAAAGGGGCATATGGCCTCATCAATGCACCACTTTTGTGGTATCTGGAACTGAAAGCCGCTTTGTTGTCCCTGAATTTTGTGATTTCTCCTTTTGATCCATGTACGTTTGTGTTGCCCAAGCAATCTACTACTGTTCAACCTGGAGGGCAATTTGAAGAAACAAGTGGTATTCATGGTATTCTTGGTGTCCACGTCGATGATGGTATAGGAGGTGGTGACAGAGTTTTTCAGGAAGCCATAGCGAAACTGGAAGCCAGATTTCCTTTCGGGAACAAGCGACATGGTTCCTTCGTATTCACTGGAATTCAAGTTGATCAACAGGCCAATGGCGACATCGTTTTGAGTCAAAAAGAATACATACAAGATATTCCTAGCATCTCAGTTTCCAAAGACCGAAGAAATCAACCAACATCACCTATCACTAAAGAAGAACTTCAGAGCTTTCGTGGACTTATTGGAAGTCTACAGTTCGCTGCCACCAACACCAGACCAGACATTTCATGCAAACTCAGTCTTTTACAAGCCAAAGTTTCCAATGCCACTGTTTCTGATTTGCTACAAGGTAATCGCATTCTCGAAGAAGCCAAAAAGCACAGCACCACAAGTATCCGAATCCAATCAATTCCAGTTCCAGATGTTCACTTCCTTTCGTTTTCCGATGCTGCTTTCGCTACAAGAGAGAAGGCCAACTCCCAAAAAGGATGTCTAATTCTGGCAACCACCAAGCAAATCAATGAGGTGCAACCAGCCAAGGTTAGTCCCATAACATGGTTCTCCAAGAAAATCGCACGAGTAGTTGCCAGTACTCTTGCATCTGAGACCTATGCGTTGTCAGGAGCCTTGGATTTACTCAGCTGGACACGTATCCATTGGGCATGGTTAGTGGACCCCTCACTGAATTGGCAAAACCCTGAAGAAACATTAGCATCCCTTCCGAAAGCCTTCGCAGTTGTTGATTGTAAGTCATTGTACGACCTTTTGCAGAAAACATCGATTCCCCAATGCAGTGAGTACAGAACCTTACTGGAAGCTTTGGTGATCCGTGATAGACTGCGTGAAGGTGTCACAGTGATGCGCTGACCAAAGACATGGACGCTACCACTCTGCGTAACTTCCTGATGAGAGGTCGTTGTATTTTGTATGATGTGGAAGATATACTAAAACAACGTTCAGACAAGAAGCTGCGAAATGAATGGTACCAGCGTTCAACCGCCGATGATGCCCACTGCAATCTATGCCACTGCCATGAGCTCCAAAAATAAAGATAGTTAATAGTTTTTTTAGGAGTGTGATTTCAGCCTGCCGTTTACCATTCCATTCTCCCTGGGTGCCATTATCCATAATGCATGAGAGATCACGGAGTGACCAGGGCGTATCCATTCCTGCAGCCGCTGGGCGCAAAGCTGAGGGCTAAGGTGGCTGGGAGCCCCTTCGACCGCGGACGGTCGCGTTGCAGCCATTGGATAAAACAAAGCGCGAGGACGTGCTTCTCTTGGGGCTCAGGTGGGCCATAGGATTCATTTTGGAGGAGGACAAAGGGCTACCAGTGTGCAATACTCACAATATATATATATATAACTATTATACAGTTACTTAGATCCATGAACCCAGAAAAACATAGGATCATAATATTAACATACACCCAAATGAAAAACCCATTTTCAAATACAAGTTCCAACCTATCAAATATATTTCACAACAATATACATAGGAAAAAGGGCGAAAGCCTCAAGGTGCGAAGCACCAAAAAGTTTTTTCCGGGGTTGGCGGCAGGGGCGGCAGCCCTTAATATAATATAATGTCTCTTAGTACACATTGTATTGTGTATATATATATATCCCATCTACTCAGCGCAACCATATCCTCCAGACAAATCTTCCAGTAAGTTTCTTCTCTTTGTGTTGATTCAGCTCTGAATTGCTGTAAGATTCTCGTCTGACAGCAGACCTCCCATCTCAGCTTCAATCCACTTTCCGACATGGCTGGGCGCTGGAGCCAGAAATAGCTGGTACTGTATATGCTGGTATAAATGTCATAGAAACTCTCAACCATGCCCAAAATAGGGTAATTACCCCATAACTCAATGAGTTATCATAATGTTCCTCATTTGAATTGAATTGTATATTTGGAATGTACCGCATTTCCAGACACAAAACATATATTAGTTGTTGGTTATATATCCAAATAGAATTGAATCCCCATAAATGTTTGGCTTCCCTCCATTTCTGTTGATTAAATCCCCAAACATAGGAACAAAAACACGCGGAAGAAACACCCTTTCGATGGCGTCGGGCGACATTTCTCAGAAACATGGCAGGCATGGCTTGGTTGGCGTGGGCGGCAGATTGTCTAGCACGGCCTGGTGTGGCTTGAACTGTCTCGAAGTTGGGAACGCCCTACATTCGACCCTGGTTTCTGCTTCTCAAATATTGGGGAAAAAAACATACACCCATAGAGTTAGTATAGTTTACTCCTGGATGTTTCTTTTTTGGTTTCCTCCATGTTACAATGGCCTTTTAAATCCGCCAAAAACATCCGGGGCCCGCCTGGTGCAGACTCATAGTGACCTGGGGCAGCTGGAGGCTGCATTCCTGCACTGCGTTCTCGAAGCCCAGGAAGCCTCACGGACAGCGCTTGGTTTGGGAATAAATCGATGACTTTACACTGGAAAGATATGGAAAGTCTCCTAAATTTGGGGTACCCCGACTTTTCCGATTTTCAGCAGGTTCTTACCCCAACCTTTGATGAATAGAATAAGCATGGTATATGAATTTTGGAAGGCTCTAGTTGGACCTCCATCAAGTGCCAAAAAAATCAAAAAAAGCAGCTAGGGGAACTGAGAGAACGGCTGTTCTTGAGAATCGAAGAGTAGATTCTCTCGACAGTGTCTCCAGCTGGGAACGTGATTCCAACGCAAGCCTCGGCCAGAGAGGAGCAATCCGTGGTCCAGAATGCGAATTGATCTTCAGATATGGGGATGGGTCAAAACCCTGGTACCTAGTGAACCCCAAAATAGCTGGTAAATGGATGTTCATCCCACTAAAAATGTATCTATAGGTATTGACCCATACCCATATCTTAAGATACCTTAATATACCTTACATGGCTTATTGCTTCATGTTCCAAACATCCCTTAGCTCCAGATTCACTTTCTGCAACGCTGCCTGTCCATCCGTAAGCCCGCGACATACAACGACACCACTCGAGGATCGATCGTGTTTCGGCCAGCACCCGGGGGCTGCATTCCAGACACAAATTGGCAATCCTCCAAATGATGTGGCAGCTGTATGACGCCAAAATAAGATCAAACAAGCCGTGAGTATCCATTGATGAGACAATATGGGTATGGGTGGAACTGATTGACCCACAAAATCGATGGTGCAGTCAATCAGATACCGCTATCCATTGATTACGAAAATCAAACTACAATTCCAATCCATTGATACAACTAATTATAAAATATTACGTAGGTAAATATATAATTATATATTATATTATGTTATATTATATTATATATAATTATATATTATATATAATTATATACACATATTTAAAAATGGTAGTATTACTAAACATCATCCATTTTGTGGGTCCATTGGAACCCCGGTAGCCCGGTTCAAGGGTCGCGTCCTGGATGATGATCTTGTCCAAATCGCCACCCCGTTCGTACATGAACATTCCTGGCCATGGTGCCATGGTGCCATGGTCAGACTCAAGGGGATCAAAATGGTCAAAAGCGGTCAGACTCAAGGGGATCAAAGAGATGAAAGATGCCCATGGTCATAGCTTCCCGACAGATTAAAACCGGCCAATTCCAGAAGCTATGCCAAGATATGCCAAGCAACTCTCCATCAAGAACTTCAATAGCGCCAAGGGCTGCTGCGTGCCGTAGAGATCCTCAAAGCCCAAAACTTGGTACTTTGGAAATCCCATCGTTTTTGTTGTTGCCGATAGTTATAGATGGAAGTTGATGTTTGATAGTTGTGCTTATTTCACTGATAAAAATTGATGTGTTATGTTTATTGACAATTGTCTAGTTTTGCATTGGACTTGTTGTTTGTTCTGTTGGTTTGTGCTGCTTGTTATGTTCACTTCCCCACACCTTGGCGGATAGTCAGCAAACCACAGTCCAAAAGCGCGGCGCCAAGTCTCAATCTTGGGCATCGAGAGGTCATCGATGAAAATTCGCAGCTTCTTGCCCTGGCAATTTCCATTGATTTCTTGGATATTCTGGCGATGTTTTCTAATCATAATGTGTGTAAAACAATAATTTTTATTATCCCCCAGTCATCACCATCAATAGGTGGTATAAACCATTCCCAAATGGGTAGTTTATGGCATTGTTTTAACCACATTAGAGGTTTATGCCACGATTTTTTGAGTACATGGTGAAGCCAGTGGTGTCGTCTGCAATTTTGGAGGGTTGATACCCATGGTGAGTCAAGATGCTGTGAAGCCAGAGAAGCCACCCTGCCTGATCGGGGCCGAAGATACGCCCAGTGCGTTTGGAGATGTTGTCCTAGCAAGATTTCAAGTCACGCTTCAAGTCGATCGAAATGGTATATCAATACATACATACATGCATTGAATCAAATTACATTACATGACGTGACATTGCCTTATCTTCCTTTGCCTTGCATTGCATTACGCTACATTGCATTACATTTCACTACATACATATATATATATATACATACATACATACATATATATATATATACTATGTATGGAGATTTGCATGGATATCCTGCTCAGATAGTGTCAAAAACGAAGTAATCAACAGACATGTCATCAGAACAACTCTGAAACCTTCGCCAATGTCAGCGTCCTCCATGGTCCTCTGGAAATCAAGGCTGCCTCACAGGCAAGACTTTCAATGGAATGATAAAGGCAATGTGGCGTCACAGTTCCACAGTTCCCACCTCAAAACCTTCGAAGATATTAAGGCTATGACTTGTTCTGGAGGAGTAGTTGATGTTCAGAATGACAGACAAGTCTGACGGAAAGCTCTCCAAGGTATTCTGCATTGTAACCTGACACGCTGGCCAAAGCTGGCAGCGTGTTGTCTGATCGCACAAAGAATGTTTGCAACTTTAATTGGGTTGGTCCAAAAATTGGCTACAGAAAATCCCCCAAATTGCCATTTTAGTGGGGAAAACATAGGAACAATAAACTATTGGATTTTAGGGGACGCCATTTTTGGACAAAGCCACTTTTGCCGATGCAACCAAGCCACTGATTTTGCAGTTCCACTTTCTCCGATGAAGAGCACAGGCTGACTCATGCTCAAGAACTGCTTGACCTTTTTTCGCCGGCACCAGCATTCATGGAGAATGATGGAAAATGAGGACTCAAAAATCGGGATTTTATCGTCAAATATGATGTTCAAATATGTTCCATGGATCGGTTTAAGGGAAGATGCATAGGAAACCCGCCAATTTTTACCCCAAATCCAGGGTGATCCGTAGCCAATTTTCCCAGCCCAGTAGCCAGGTAGGAGTAGCGTGTCGTGTCGATGGTCGGCACAAAGATCTTGTTGAAGTCAAGGCCAGGTGGAGGAGCAAATGGCTGGCAGACGGCAAATGGCAGACATTGATCAAACATGGAACTCAGGAGCTACTCACTAGAGACTTGGGTTCCTCCAAAAATCGGGTTCCAAAAATTCCATGGTTACTCTTCATGTTCCCATGTTTATATATATATATATATGTATATATATGTTCCGTATTCAACTTGCCATTTTTGGGGTATCTCCCACCTTTGGACAAGCGCACCTCCATGAGATCCTCCCAGGAGGTCCAACGGCCTTGCTCCAAATCAAAGTAGGAATCCTCAGACGCCGTGGATCCCTCAAACCGATGAGTGGTTGATTAGTTCCACACATCATCATAATCCGCCGACCCCGGCCGACGCAAGGGGGAGCGCGTAAGGGAAGAAGATGGAAGAAAAGGACTTGCAGCAGCCAGCAGGCATGTTTGCCTCAGAGGCAGCAGCAGCAGCAGCAGCATTGAGCAAGAGGAACAGCAACAGAAATAGCAACAGCAACAGCAGCAGCAACAACAACAACAACAACAAGAACAACAACAACAACAACAAGAACAACAACAAGAACAACAACAATAACAACAACAACAACACCAACACCAACACCAACAACAACAACAACAACAACACAACAACAAAAACAACAACAACAACAACAACAAAAACAAAAACAACAACAAAAACAACAACAACAACCACAACCACAACAACAACAACAACAACAACAACAACAACAACAACAACAACTGCAACTGTTTTGCTGTGGCGAGGGGTCCGTTCTGGAAGCCTGATGCTTGCAGCTTGGAGCCACCAAACGTGAATAAGTTTGAGCACGGTTTCGGCACGCAATTAGGTGCTGTTTTGCTGTGGCGGAGGGTCCGTTCTAGAGGCTTCATGCTTGCAGCTTGGAGCCACCAAACAACAACTGCAGGAGGCAGACAAAAGACATGTTTTCTTGGAATTCAGAAGGGACGTTGGGGAGTTTTTGTGGATAAGCTTGCACAACGTTTCGGCACGCAATTAGGTGCTGTTTTGCTGTGGCGAAGGGTCCGTTCTGGAGGCCTGATGCTTGCAGCTTGGAGCCACCAAACAACAGCTGCAGGAGGTAGAAAAGAGAAACTTGTCTAGGAATTGCGAAGGGTCGTGAGGGAATTTTTGCGGGTAAGTTTAAGCCAGCACTATGGCGAAGAGTCCGTTCTGGAGGCCTGATGTGCTTGCAGCTTGGAGCCACCAAACAACAGCTGCAGGAGGCAGAAAAAAGAGACATTTTTTCTAGGAATTCAGAAGGGACGTTAGGGAGTTTTTCTGGATAAGTTTGAACACGGTTTCGGCACGCAATTAGGTGCTGTTTTGCTGTGGCGAGGGGTCCGTTCTGGAAGCCTGATGCTTGCAGCTTGGAGCCACCAGACGTGAATAAGTTTGAACACGGTTTCGGTACGCAATTAGGTGCTGTTTTGCTGTGGCGAAGGATCCGTTCTGGAGGCTTGATGCTTGCAGCTTGGAGCCACCAAACAACAGGAGGCAGAAAAAAGACATTTTGTCTAGGAATTCAGAAGGGACGTTAAGGATATTTTGTCGATAAGTTTGAAAATTCGGTGCTGCTTTGCTGTGGTGAAGTGTCCGTTCTGGAGGCCTGATGCTTGCAGCTTAGAGCCACCAAATCCGCCGACCCCGGCTGCGCAAGGGGGAGCGCGCCAGGGAATAAGACAAGAATTTGCCACCGCCAGCTACTACTACTACTGCTACTACTACTACCACCACCACCACCACGACTACTACTACTACTACTCCTCCTCCTGCTGCTGCTGCTGAGCAGCCACCAGCAGCAGCAGCATGGCAGACCAGCAGAAGTCAAATCCGCCGACCCCGGCCGACGGCAAGGGGGAGCGCGTCAGGGCAGAGAGGTTGGGGACAACAAGAAATACAACAACGGTTCTTGGGAAGCTTTCCAAAGTAGCTGAACAGCAACAGCAGCAAGCAGCAGGAGGAGGAGGAGATCTAGTGAGATTTCTAGTAGGATTTCAGAAGGGACGTTTCGGCCTCCGGGGAACCGGTTATTGCGACTGATTTTGCGTCATTTTCGGCACGAAATTTGGTGGTGTTTTGCTGTTTCGGCTGTGTTTCGAAAAAGGTGTCTGGCTGCTGGTTTCTGGCTTTATTAGAGGCAGCAGCAGCAGTCAAAATTGGAGATCAAAATTGGACAAAATTGGCTTTCTAGTAGGGATTTCAGAAGGGACGTTTCGGCCTCCGGGGAACCGGTTATTGCGACTGATTTTGCGTCATTTTCGGCACGAAATTAGGTGGTGTTTTGCTGTTTCGGCTGTGTTTCGAAAAAGGTGTCTGGCTGCTGGTTTCTGGCTTTATTAGAGGCAGCAGCAGCAGTCAAAATTGGAGATCAAAATTGGACAAAATTGGCTTTCTAGTAGGGATTTCAGAAGGGACGTTTCGGCCTCCGGGGAACCGGTTATTGCGACTGATTTTGCGTCATTTTCGGCACGAAATTAGGTGGTGTTTTGCTGTTTCGGCTGTGTTTCGAAAAAGGTGTCTGGCTGCTGGTTTCTGGCTTTATTAGAGGCAGCAGCAGCAATCAAAATTGGAGATCAAAATTGGACAAAATTGGCTTTCTAGTAGGGTTTCAGAAGGGACGTTTCGGCCTCCGGGGAACCGGTTATTGCGACTGATTTTGCGTCATTTTCGGCACGAAATTAGGTGGTGTTTTGCTGTTTCGGCTGTGTTTCGAAAAAAAGGTGTCTGGCTGCTGGTTTCTGGCTTTATTAGAGGCAGCAGCAGCAGTCAAAATTGGAGATCAAAATTGGACAAAATTTGCTTTCTAGTATTTCTAGTAGGGTTTCAGAAGGGACGTTTCGGCCTCCGGGGAACCTGTTATTGCGACTGATTTTTTGCGTCATTTTCGGCACGAAATTAGGTGGTGTTTTGCTGTTTCGGCTGTGTTTCGAAAAAGGTGTCTGGCTGCTGGTTTCTTGCTTTATTAGAGGCAGCAGCAGCAGTCAAAATTGGAGATCCAAATTGGACAAAGTGGGCTTTCTAGACGGGATTTCCGAAGGGGACGTTTCGGCTCCGGGGTTTGGAGGTACGTTTATTGCGACTGATGTTTTGCGTAATTTTCGGCACGAAATTAGGTTTTGGTGTTTTGCTGTTTCGGCTGGTTTCGAAAAAGGTGTGCATGGCCATGCTGGTTTCGAGGCTTTATAGACGGCAGCAGCAAAGCAGTCAAAATTGGAGATCAAAATTGTGACAAAATTGGGCTTTATAGTAGGTTTCAGAAGGGGACGTTTCGGACTCCGGGGAGGAACGGTTATTGCAGACTGATTTTGCGTCATTTTCAGGCACGAAATTAGTGGTGTTTTGCTGTTTCGGCTTGTTCGAAAAAGGTGTCTGACGGTGGTTTCTAGCTTTAGTAGAGGGCCAGCAGCAGCAATCAAAAAGTGGAGATCAAAATTGGAGATAAAAAATGGGACAAAATTGCTTTCTAGTAGAGGTTTCAAGAGGGACGTTTCGGCCCCCGGGGAAACAGGTATTGCGACTGAATTTGCGTCTATTTCGGCACGAAATTTGGTGGTGTTTTGCTGTTTCGGCTGTGTTTCGAAAAAAGGTGATGTCTGGCTGCTGTTTCTGCTTTATTAGAGGCAGCAGCAGCATCAAACAATTGGAGATCAAAATTGGACAAAATGGCTTCCTAGTAGGGTTCAGAAGGGACGTTTCGGCCTCCGGGGAACCTGTTATTGCGACGGATTTTGCGTCATTTTCGGCACGAAATTAGGTGGTGTTTTGCTGTTTCGGCTGTGTTTCGAAAAAGGTGTCTGGCTCCTGGTTTCTAGCTTTATTAGAGGCAGCAGCAGCAGTCAAAATTGGAGATCAAAATTGGACAAAATTGGCTTTCTAGTAGGGTTTCAGAAGGGACGTTTCGGCCTCCGGGGAACCGGTTATTGCGACTGATTTTGCGTCATTTTCGGCACGAAATTAAGTGGTGTTTTGCTGTTTCGGCTGTGTTTCTAAAAAGGTGTCTGGCTGCTGGTCTCTGGCTTTATTAGAGGCAGCAGCAGCAGTCAAAATTGGAGATCAAAATTGGACAAAATTGGCTTTCTAGTAGGGTTTCAGAAGGGACGTTTCGGCCTCCGGGGAACCGGTTATTGCGACTGATTTTGCGTCATTTTCGGCACGAAATTAGGTTGTGTTTTGCTGTTTTGGCTGTGTTTCGAAAAAGGTGTCTGGCTGCTGGTTTCTGGCTTTATTAGAGGCAGCAGCAGCAGTCAAAATTGGAGATCAAAATTGGACAAAATTGGATTTCTAGTAGGGTTTCAGAAGGGACACCACCATCACTACCACCACCACCAGCAGCAGCAAAAGCGGTATTGGACACAGTGCAGGAACATAACGAACACCGTTAGGCTTGCTTCTTTCAAGTGCCATGCGCCATTGCTTCACCATGATGAGGAATATGCTAAGCAACAAACCGAAAAACACACGATGAATCTCAATGGATCGTCCCACAAAGACACTCTCACAACTCACAATACCTGGATTAAGTCCTCTCCAAAACATCTATCACCTCCATTGCTATGCACTTCTACACCTTTAGCGGCCGCGCCAGACCGAGCCCAAGCTTATTGGTTGGACAACGCTGCTTAGCAGGCAAGATTCCAACTTAAAGGCATTCAGTCGTAATCCAACAGATCATCTTCCTGGTATTAGCTTATGAGCTAGCCACATAAACCAAGCATCTGAACGAAATCTTCCTCCCGTACTAATTTCGATTATTACTGTCGCAGAATCAAGTTAATATAACACTAACCTGTCGCACGCAATCTAAATCCAGCTCACGTTCCCTTTTGGCGGTGAACAATCTGGATACCCGGGGTCGGCGGCAGGGGCGGCAGCCCTTAAATAATAATAATGATAATAATAATCATCATCACCATCATCACCATCATCATCATCATTACCATCATCATCAGTAAATCATCAGCATTTCTGTTCAGTATACCAGGCCTGAGATCATTCCAGTTGACCAGTCCCCCTGAGATCATCACGAAGAGACTCTGCTTTGGAAGCACCTTCTGCGCCAACTTCTTGATGAACTCGTCGAACTCCGTGCGGCCTGCGAGGTCAGCGTCTGGTCCATCCGACAGTCCAACAGGTCCAGCAGGTCCAAAGGGTCAGCGATGCGTTCGCGCGCACCTCTCTCATCCAAATGGCCACCAAGAGACCAGGTCAAGCAAAAGATGTAGATGTTCTCCACCTTGACATATTACGTCAGAATGTACAGCTTTGACTTCATGGATTTCACGAATGTAATTCAGCAATCTTGGGCTCCGGCCAAATCGATGGGAGTGGTCCCTTCATCGAAGATCGAGTCAAAGAGCCGGGTGAACTGAACCACGGAGTCCATTCCCATGGAGGAACGATGGATAAAGCCGCTCAGAGGGTTTCCAATCTGATCTCCCTGTCGACCTTCGAAGATGTACCTGGGGCTACCATAAGGTAAGCCTCCCAAACGTGCACAAAAAAGCTGGCTTATGAGGAGGTGACCCCAAAGAAACATGGGTCACCATAACAAAAAATATGAAAAACGCCGCAGTCCCGTTTCTATTGGGTTGCTTCGAAAATGGGGGATGACCTTAAAACACGAGGCGAATGAGAAAATGAGGTAACATCTCTAGACCCTCAAAGTTGGAGTGTATCCCATTTCAGACACACACATTGTATCTTCCAGGCATATCAAATCTTCCGCAAAGTCGCAGGATCAAATGTGGCACATATTTCTCATAGAGGTCCTGCAGTCAAGGGCTGATTTCCAGGGCGGTATATGGTGATATCACCAGCAATCATTGGGCAAAAAGCGGGTGCTTTAACCAACAAGTACTGAGATATGATATGGATAGATGGAGATTTCCTGAAATGGGGGTACCCCGAGTTATCATCCATTTGAATAGAATTGTCCCTGATAAACATTTACAAACCATCCAGCTATTGGGGCTCCATCTCCGTGGTGATCACAAATGACCATCGAGTCCTCGAGTGACTCTCGCAGCTTTTCGGTTTGCTTCAGACGCTGCCAACGATCATAGTATGGTCCGGGGCCAAGATTCTTGTCATCAACCTGCTGCCGAAGCTGTCCACAGATAGCAACTAGGATAGAGCCTGATATTGCTTTGGTAAATGGAACTTGTGCCATGAAGAATGCTACTTTTTCCATGAAAAAAGACAATTTTCAGGATTCACAGGTTTCCACGGAGTTGAATCTACTAACTAGTAGACACACCTACACCACTTCCGGCCAGTGACGTACAGCATGCCGCAGCGACTCACTGTTGCGGGAGATGCGTATTGCAGATCGAAGACTTCGAAAAGCATTGCACAGTGCTTCCTGGTGAGTTTCTCATCAAGGAGAAACTCCGGCAGTGGCAATGAGTCAAAACAGTCAAAACCCTCCGGGATGGATGGTACCCTAAAATAGCTACTTAATGGATCTTACTTCCCCCAAATTTCCAAATGTTGTGATGATATGTAATTTTTTTGGCTTTGACCCATCCCCATCTCTTGGTTGTTCGTGATCTTCCGGTAATTACACCCATGAAGATCACCACAGGTGGCTCTAATCCGCAAAAGACAACAAGTTGCCCTTGGTGCACTTGGGGTTGAAATGGTCACTGCTCATGAAAGGTTCAGCCTCTTCTTTGCCAAGTATCTCCAATCGAATACGCTCTCCATTGGTCAGGGTGAGAAGCTTGTTGTCGTCCATGACAGAATTCATGTTCTCAATCCAAATGGCATCGACGTCGCCATCGTAGAGAATGTACCGCCTGGTGAGCTTACTTTTCTTAAAGGATACTGATGCTTGAAGAATTACCATCAGAATTACCATCAGATGGCAAGAATTTCTTACCAACATGAACCAACCACTATCAGTTTGACCAACAGCTTCCCACCTGCATGGCTTGTCCGCAGGGTGTGGTTGGTTCATCTCTCTGAAGATCTTGGACAACAGCCTCATGGCTTGGCGAAGCGAACGGAAAACCCTGTCACCGCCGTGTCAGAAAAATGTCTCTACCGCCGCTAAGGCCTCGAGGCCAGCTAAGGCCTCGACCCATCTGTCCAATCTCGGGTCTGAGGGTCCAAAACACCATACAGCTCCTGAGGAGTCATGAGCCTGTCATGAACTTTCATGAACATGCCATCAAAAAAGATCAAAGTGACCATCAATGGCACTCCGCTGAGATATTTCAAAAGCAGTAAGCACTCACTAGTCATTGCAACCCTCCCTGGTTTTTGGACATGATTTGATATTCTTTGAAATTTGGGGATCCAAACCTAGAAGTAGCATTTGTGTTTAGATACATCAGCTATTATAGTTTCAAATTCAGACTCCTAGAGCCTTTCTTCAAAACACTGTCTCTCCCAGACCGACCCTCGATACCAGCGTTGAGATTCAAGGACCATAACCCCCGTTTTTTCGGGGGACATCCACAACCACCAGGCGCACCGGCCGCTAGGCTCCTCGGTGGTGATGGCCTTTGGGTTCAAGGGCAGCAGAGTGGTTGGCAGGTCCAATGCCGTCTTCTGCGCCTGGCACCCGAAAAAGAAATGATGGAACAATAAAGTCCGAATCCGAAAAAATCGTGGCAGAACATGATTTTTTGGATATATATATATATATAACTGATATTGTTCCCAAATATCTAACTAAAGACAAAACATTTTTGGGGGGCTGATGAGATTTCAGCAGGAAAACTGCCTTGAAATTTGGGCACTTTTCAATGCACCTCTGCCAAGCAGTTCAGCACCACAGATTTGCCGCCGCCAGTGGGTCCCACGATCATTGTGGAGTGCCTAGGCACCGTAGGCACCGATGCTGAGGAACTCAGAGGAACTCATCGTCGAAGGTCATGTAAAATTACTCTCTGGTTATGTCAAAATAGCTATTGAAAATGACCATCAATAGTGGATTTTCCCATTAATCATGGTGATTTTCCATAGCTATGTTAAATTACCAGAGGGTACCATCACCAGGACTCATCTATGATGATCTTTATGATATCTCATAGTTCGTGTAAAATGATGTTCGAAGCATTTACAAAGGCAAATTAGAAAATGAATGAAAATGATTTCAAGACAGGAAAAATCTAACATGTGATGCCTCATAGTTCAAGCATTCTTTTTGCTGGAACCATCTAGAATGGCAAATGAAAAAATGGATGAAAATGAAGAAAGTTGCAAGGGTCGACACCAAAATTGTCAGTGTTCAGAATCCTTTGTCAGTCATTGGAAAATCTTGCCTGGTTGATTATTACTATGATAATCCCCAATATGTAAAGGGTGGTAAAGCCCTGAAGAAATCATGATCTATCAGTTATATCACAAATATATGACCCTATATTTTGGATGATACCAGTTTGAAACCCATATCTACTGACCAAATGTTGTTTCCCACTGCCACTACCAGGCCTCATCTTAAGTTGGTTATATCCCAATTGTATCCCCATCACATCCCTATTCCAATCCAACTCTCTGGCTGGCGAAAAAAAAAACATTGTCCCCATATTCATCCCAACTTAACGATGCCAAAAAAGGGGATGGGTCAAAACCCTGGTACCATTCGTGAACCCCAAGTCATAGCTGGGTTAAAATGGATGTTCATCCCACTAAAATATGGTATCTATAGGTATTGACCCATACCCATATTCCCCAGATATTTTCCCATGGTTTTCCCCAGGGTATTGACCCATACCCATTATGCCATCAGCTTCCCACGGTCCGGTCGTGAACAACCCAGCAGCCGCGTTAACATGGTCTCATAGAGTTGCATGACCTTGTCAACCTGCAACTGATAGATATCCTGCAGAGAATTTTCGCGATGTTTCCGCGGTTGTCGGAGGTGGCGTTGAAGAAAAATAACGAAGTGGATTGTTGATGGGATATAAATCACCATTAAAATAGGATGTTAAAAGAAATAATGATGATAATAATAACAATAATAATAATAGTAATATTGCAATAGTAATGGTCATTTCAATGGGAGATGTAATGGTATATATAGATTCAAATACAAATTCGATCGTTTTTAATAATGTATCAAGAGCCCCACTATGATACTACAATCCCCATTATAATGCCATGTTTGAATATGATGTTTTTTCATGGTGATGTTTCGTATGGGGGTTATAATGAGGGTCTCATACTGGCACATATGAATTATAACACAAACTCGGCAATGTGGATATCATTTATCCAATGATGCATCTGAAAATGGAAGATTTGCCCCCAACCTCTGGCTATTTTAGTGGGGTGGCACCCAAATTTTCAAAGACGCCCAAGTCAGTAGCCAAATCCCAGGCTGAGATTTTCTCACGTCGCAGGCTTCCTCATACTTGGAGTGCATTTGGTTGTCATCGAAGTACTTCATGATCGCTTCCTGGACCGCGATAAAGAACCAATGGATCTGTCACCATGACTCAGCATCTGCCCCTTTTTTTTTAGACTTTCCCATTGGCTTTGTCTGAACACAGGCTACCCGGCTACCCGTAAAATCCCATGGTTCATCGCAGCATCTTGGAGCTCCTTCAACTTGGGATTGCCTTCTCGTGGAACCTTCAATTGAGGGAAAAGGTCGTTCAGCAGTCCCTGGAAGAGTGGTACATCCTGGCAGCAGAATCAGCAGCAACACTTCTAATGGTATAATGCATATTATATGCATATGTGTATATATATATCCCATTAGATATATATATATAATATATATATATATAACCAGTCATTGCGGGGACAAATTCAGTCCTGCTTCACAAACTTTGGCATATTCCTCGGGTCCAGATCGAACTTGCTCGGAAGGGATAAAGGTCTGTGCTGCACCAAGATGGATATGTATACATGCGTATGTCTGTATGTCTCTATGTCTGTATGTCTGTATGTCTGTATGTCTATACGTCTGTACGTCTGTATGTATGTATGTATGTATGTATATATATATATATGTGTGTGTATGTATATATATATGTATATATATATATATGTATATATATATGTATATATATATATATGTATATGTATATATATATGTATATATATATGTATATGTATATATATATATATATGTATATGTATATATATATGTATATGTATATATATATATGTATATGTATATATATATATGTGTGTATATATATATGTATATGTATATATATGTATGTATATATATATATATGTATATATATATATGTATATGTATATATATATATGTATATGTATATATATATATATGTATATATATATATATATATCCATCTATGAGTTCGCTGCTCTAGCAGTACTCAAATTCTCTGCCAAGGGCGATAACACTCTGCTCTGGCATCTGGTGCCGAGTCTCATGTCGCGCAGAGCTCGCATCAACACCTGACACAGTGGCCATCGAATGAAGCAAGAGATCTGTTATTTGGCTTTGGATTGACAAACAGATGGCATTGAGGGTTCCTCCCTTCAAGATATGGTATCAAACGTTTCGATTCCATCCCCAATTTCAACTCTTTCCACTCACAGCTGAGGGTCCAACTATGACTGCAGCGATCAAGAATTACTGTAATTATGCAAAAATCACACAAACAAGCCCAACCTAAGCCATTTCTGTACGCAGGTCTTGGAACCACCATTTTCACTGGCCTTGTCTTCCGGAAGATCTCCGGCCGCTCGCTTGAGGTCACCAGCCATGACCAGCACTGATTTCAGAGCTCGCAACTTGAAATCCTTGGAGGCAACTTGGCATTTCCGGTATCCTGCTGAAACCCAAAAAGCTGGTTGCTATGATATGTTCATCCCCAAGAAGCTCGATGGTGTCCATTTCAGGAAGATCTTGAAGCTGCTTCCACGCATGAAGCAAATCTCGCTTGAACGTGTTGCCAACATCTTGCCGACAAGCAGCATAGTGGTACTGTTTGGACAGCTGGCCCTGTGACAGTGCGTACAGAACTGTCATCTTCTTCGCCAAGACCTGTCCATTGCAACACGATTTCAGCAAGTTGTTGGTTGGCCTTTTGACAAAGCATGCATCAGCAGATCGAGAGAAGTTGTTTGCAGACCTTTGCCATGTTGAAGCCCTCAGACATCAGCATGTTTTCGCCTAAGGAGATCGCTGAATCGCAACAAACCGAGCATTCGTGGCTTTGTACCGGTTGGCTAATAGGGACAGGGATTCCCCTAATATATTCTGATAGTCCCCAATATATTGAGTAGTATAATCCCCTACAATTTAATCATCAACTAACAACGGTTTTGAACACTGCTCACATGTTTGCTGGCATATGAGCAAAGCTCCCGACAGATCATCAGCAAGTCAGGCACAATCATCGTGACGGGTCGGAAAAGTGCCTCTTCCATTCTGCCGGGTCTGTTGGAAGTGCATTCTTGATGTGCAAGCCAGTTGGCATGTGCTTACAAACGTGTATATTGTGTATATATATATGATATGTAGATGTGTATATATATACACACATAATTTTATGTATCAGTCACAAATTATAGCCACCTATTGTCGACTTATGAACCACTGATTCAATCCCGTGCGGAATGAGCGATGCCTTCAAGTTGTCGGGCAGCTCAGATCGTCCAGCATAGCCAGGGTTCATGGTGATAAAATAACCTCACTTCACTCAGGTCATTTAGTGGAAAACCATGGAAAAACCATGGAAAACCATGGAAAACCATGGAAAACCCTAAAATCCTGGAACAACAATTACAGGAAAATTGGCTAAATTGTATGAAAAATTAGGCGAGTCATGAGTTTCCGTAACAAAAGTGCATGTGGTGGAGTATACCCTACCAAACAAACCCATCCGGTCATGGTAAATGGGTGACCATGAGCCTCCTGGCTCATACCTGGCTCATACGGATCGCCTTTCAAAATGGCGAAGTCAGGGGCACCGAAAAACAAGACTGAGGTGTGCTTTTTGAGGCGTTAACACCAGTTATATGGGAGGTCAAAATGGGTGACCCCCAAAAAATGGCAGGTTGAAAACCTGACCAAAATGCCTGTCTGACAGTCTTAGACATGTCAATTTCCATGGCCACCCTTGTGGGGCCATGTGGGGCCTTAGGTCCACACCAATGGTCGTCTTCAATGCGACGTCTCTGCCCAGCATCTCCACCGTTTTCTTGCCCACCTTGGATCTGGAACAATGTGAAAAATGCCATTCTCGCAGAGAAACGGCTGCCACACCAAAACAGTACCGGTAGCTCTTCAGCGGCACAAAACAGGGACTCAAGGATGGCGCGTTCAGTCCATTCTGAATGGTCTTAATCTGGGCGGCCACCACAGACAACACCTGCCAGATCACATCTGCTGCGATGGATCGCGGGGCGGGGATCTGGAGGCTGTTCAGCGGCCTCAACGTTGATGCGGTTGAACTCATCAAAGCAGCCCCAAAATCCTGCACATCATGAGGCTGCAGACTACCCCTGCATGACGAAATTATGACATAATGATCAACACATTGGAGCCATTTCAATTCAACTTGCAGCTGCTTAGCTGTATTTCTGGCCTTACAGCCGATGATACCCTCAGGTAATCAAACATGGCTTGCTAGAAAATCCCCCATTTACTTCGATGCTCTTCCCAGCGAACTAAACCTGCATCGCTACTTCAGGTTCAGGATCTCCCAATTCATCTCCGAATCTATCCCTCCAGTCCTATCAGATAGTTGGGGAACTCTGCTCCAACTTGGTTCCCCATCTCTTAGTATGGACTATGGTAATCGCCCAATCCCTGCACCGTTCCCTCCACCGGATCGAATCATTCCTCCACTTGGAGCTGCAGTTGTTTGGTTATTGCAGGCTATGACTGACGGTCTTTTTTTACACATCTTAACCTCCATTAACATCCATTAACATGGTTAAATTAGGTGAAAAATTATTCTAACCTGAAATATCCAACATCTTTCGACCCTGGTGGTGCTTTTTTGGGGATCGTTTTTTTTCTGCCACGATCGCCTCCCACGGCACGGCCAAGCCCGCCTGTTTCGGAGAGACCACTGAAGATGACGCCCATGGCTCGGAAGTCCAAGCCATCGCCGCAGTTCGTCACCACGCAGGAAATGGCCAGGGACTTGGCCAGGTCCTAAAAAGGCGAGTCCTCTATAATGCCAAGGAACAGCTGAATGACTCATGTTTAATATAGTTGAAAATAGAATAATTATATACAAATTATATATGTTGATATATATATATATATACGTGATATGTATATATATATACTATCCGCCGACCCCGGCTGCGCAAGGGGGAGCGCGTTAGGGAATAAGACAGCAGCACCCAGCCAGTAGCCAGCAATCAATATCCGCCGACCCCGGCAGACGCAAGGGGGAGCGTGCCAGGGAATAATACTTTTGACTCTTGTTTCGGACTACTACTACTACTACTACTACTACTACTACTACTGCCATGGTGTTTTCCCATCCGGCAGGTGCCTTTTGAACAGAAGGAGTCACAGGAGCAGGAGCAGCAGCAGCAGCAGGAGGAAATAGAAGGTGTTTGACAAGACGGTTATCATCACAAAGGCAATTCTTTTTTTTCTAGGATTTCAGAAGGGACGTTAGGCACTTTTTGGGCTCGATTTTGGAGCGTTTTGGGCACGAAATTAGGTGGCGTTTCAGCGTTTCAAGTGGTGGCCATGAGCAGCAGCAGCAACAGGAGCAACAGGAGGGTTCTATGTCTCATTGCACAAACAGTGGTATAAACATTGGTCGAAAACTATAAACATTGGTATATTATTGTGATTGATTTTGCGTCATGTTCGGCACGAAATTAGGTGTCTGGCTGCTGGTTTCTTACTTTATTAGAGGCAGTAGCAGCAATCAAAATTAGAGATCAAATTGGACAAAATTAGATTTCTATTGGACAAAGTTGGATTTCTAGTAGGATTTCAGAAGGGACGTTTCGGCCCCCGAAAACCTATTCTTGTGATTGATTTTGCGTCATGTTCGGCAGGAAATTAGGTGGTGTTTTGCTGTTTCGGCTGTGTTTTAAAAAAGGTGTCTGGCTGCTGGTTTCTTGCTTTATTATAGGCAGCAGCAGCAGTCAAAATTAGAGATCAAAATTGGATAAAATTGGATTTCTAGTAGGAGTTCAGAAGGGACGTTTCGGCCCCCGAAAACCTAATATTGTGATTGATTTTCCGTCATGTTCGGCACGAAATTGGGTGGTGTTTTGCTGTTTCGGCTGTGTTTTAAAAAAGGTGTCTGGCTGCTGGTTTCTTGCTTTATTAGAGGTAGCAGCAGCAATCAAAATTAGCGATCAATCAAATTTGACTAAAATTAGATTTCTATTGGACAAAATTGGATTTCTAGTATGATTTCAGAAGGGACGTTTCGGCCCCCGAAAACCTATTATTGTGATTGATTTTGCGTTATGTTCGGCACGAAATTAGGTGGTGTTTTGCTGTTTCGGTTGTGTTTTACAAAAGGTGTCTGGCTGCTGGTTTCTTGCTTTATTATAGGTAGCAGCAGCAGTCAAAATTAGAGATCAAAATTGGACAAAATTGGATTTCTAGTAGGATTTCAGAAGGGACGTTTCGGCCCCCGAAAACTTAATATTGTGATTGATTTTCCGTCATGTTCGGCACGAAATTGGGTGGTGTTTTGCTGTTTCGGCTGTGTTTTAAAAAAGGTGTCTGGCTGCTGGTTTCTCGCTTTATTAGAGGCAGCAGCAGCAATCAAAATTAGAGATCAAATTTGACTAAAATTAGATTTCTATTGGACAAAATTTGATTTCTAGTAGGATTTCAGAAGGGACGTTTCGGCCCCCGAAAACCTATTATTGTGATTGATTTTGCGTTATGTTCGGCACGAAATTAGGTGGTGTTTTGCTGTTTCGGCTGTGTTTTACAAAAGGTGTCTGGCTGCTGGTTTCTTGCTTTATTATAGGTAGCAGCAGCAGTCAAAATTAGAGATCAAAATTGGACAAAATTGGATTTCTAGTAGGATTTCAGAAGGGACGTTTCGGCCCCCGAAAACTTAATATTGTGATTGATTTTCCGTCATGTTCGGCACGAAATTGGGTGGTGTTTTGCTGTTTCGGCTGTGTTTTAAAAAAGGTGTCTGGCTGCTGGTTTCTCGCTTTATTAGAGGCAGCAGCAGCAATCAAAATTAGAGATCAAATTTGATTAAAATTAGATTTCTATTGGACAAAATTGGATTTCTAGTAGGAGTTCAGAAGGGACGTTTCGGCCCCCGAAAACCTAATATTGTGATTGATTTTCCGTCATGTTCGGCACGAAATTGGGTGGTGTTTTGCTGTTTCGGCTGTGTTTTAAAAAAGGTGTCTGGCTGCTGGTTTCTTGCTTTATTAGAGGTAGCAGCAGCAATCAAAATTAGCGATCAATCAAATTTGACTAAAATTAGATTTCTATTGGACAAAATTGGATTTCTAGTAGGATTTCAGAAGGGACGTTTCGGCCCCCGAAAACCTATTATTGTGATTGATTTTGCGTTATGTTCGGCACGAAATTAGGTGGTGTTTTGCTGTTTCGGCTGTGTTTTACAAAAGGTGTCTGGCTGCTGGTTTCTTGCTTTATTAGAGGTAGCAGCAGCAGCAATCAAAATTAGAGATCAAATTTGATTAAAATTAGATTTCTATTGGACAAAATTGGATTCTAGTAGGATTTCAGAAGGGACGTTTCGGCCCCCGAAAACTTAATATTGTGATTGATTTTCCGTCATGTTCGCCACGAAATTGGGTGGTGTTTTGCTGTTTCGGCTGTGTTTAAAAAAAGGTGTCTGGCTGCTGGTTTCTCGCTTTATTAGAGGCAACAGCAGCAACAAACAGTGGTATAAACATTGGTCGAAAACTATAAACATTGGTATATTATTGTGATTGATTTTGCGTCATGTTCGGCACGAAATTAGGTGTCTGGCTGCTGGTTTCTTACTTTATTAGAGGCAGTAGCAGCAATCAAAATTAGAGATCAAATTGGACAAAATTAGATTTCTATTGGACAAAGTTGGATTTCTAGTAGGATTTCAGAAGGGACGTTTCGGCCCCCGAAAACCTATTCTTGTGATTGATTTTGCGTCATGTTCGGCAGGAAATTAGGTGGTGTTTTGCTGTTTCGGCTGTGTTTTAAAAAAGGTGTCTGGCTGCTGGTTTCTTGCTTTATTATAGGCAGCAGCAGCAGTCAAAATTAGAGATCAAAATTGGACAAAATTGGATTTCTAGTAGGAGTTCAGAAGGGACGTTTCGGCCCCCGAAAACCTAATATTGTGATTGATTTTCCGTCATGTTCGGCACGAAATTGGGTGGTGTTTTGCTGTTTCGGCTGTGTTTTAAAAAAGGTGTCTGGCTGCTGGTTTCTTGCTTTATTAGAGGTAGCAGCAGCAATCAAAATTAGCGATCAATCAAATTTGACTAAAATTAGATTTCTATTGGACAAAATTGGATTTCTAGTAGGATTTCAGAAGGGACGTTTCGGCCCCCGAAAACCTATTATTGTGATTGATTTTGCGTTATGTTCGGCACGAAATTAGGTGGTGTTTTGCTGTTTCGGTTGTGTTTTACAAAAGGTGTCTGGCTGCTGGTTTCTTGCTTGTGATAATGCATTTGCCAAAGTTTCTCGTCACACAGCTTGCCTGTTTCACCAGCAATCCCCGATTCTTTACCGGGGTCGGCGGCAGGGGCGGCAGCCCTTAAATATAAAAGTATAAAAGTGCCATTGATGATTCATGTGGGCAACGACTTCACAAAAGATATCCAGGATTGTTTTCTCGGGAGGTTGCCGATGCGGATCAATCCCTATGACCTCCAAAGGCATGGCGCAAGGAAGACTTTTTCGGGGTCCACAAATGGGTGTATACCCCAATAGCTGGATGGTTTTTACTGAAAGTTCTTGATAAAATGGATGATAACTGGGAGTATCCCTATTTTAGGACCTTTAGGACACCTCCATATTCGTACGAGTCCACGTTACAAGACTTGGGTTCGGCAATGATCCAGAAAGTATTGGATATGATATGCTACTGTACCCCTACGCTTGGAATGACAACCATTCATCTGAGGGTATCGAAGTAAAATGCCAAGTGGGCCAAGTCCAAGAGATTCCATGTCCATTGAAAACAGCACAGATTTGGTGGCAAGATACGATATGTTTCACCGTGAAGCCCCGCGTCCTTCACCGTCTCCGTCTTGCCGGTTCCTGCCGGACCCGCTGGGGCACCGCCCATGTTGAAGGTCAGCGCCGTGGTGAGCGTCATGACCTGGTGGACATAGCTGGGATGATGGGATGGATGTTGATTTTGCAGGAATTTCACAGGTAATTTAGGTAACTTGACCCATCCCCAGTGCTTCCACAAGGTTGAAACCAGGTGCCGGGCGCAGCGATCTGTCAGGGGGGTGATGACAAGTCGACCATTCAGTCCCTGACAAATGGAGTGCTTCAACCAATGCTCAAAGATTGTGCAAGACAATGGCACGAAAGAGGAGACATAACCGTATACTCAATGTACTTGTTATGCATTGTGATTCATTCCTTTTGCTTCACCACTGCCTGATACTCGTAGCAATACTTGAGTTGGCCGGTGCATTGTCGGATGGCCACCTGCGATGCGCAGCTGTCTGCTTTTCGCGTCATGTCGGATGGGATTTCCTGGAATCGAGAGCCGGACATCATCCATCTTCCGGTCCCAGTAGAAGCGAAGCCTTGCAGCGTTGAAGCGAAGGCCCGGATTTTTTGGTCATGGTCAAAAAAAACATGGGATTCACTGAGTCAGCTGGGTATGGCCATCCCACCAATAATGTGGGTGCATATATATATATATACATACATATCATATATATATTTTTTTTATCCAACTTTTGACCATGGCGCTTGTGTATTCAATGACGCTTTTTGAGCAACTTTCGCCAAGTGGCTGGGATTCCCATGCAAACTCCTCCTTGTTCAAAATGCCTGGGCGATGAACAAGCCAAGTCCAGACTCCTAGCCATCCACTAAAACGTATGTTTGACGGGTAGAGAGCCTCCCAAAACAGCAAACTGTGCTTCAAAATGAAGGAAACAAAATCATGCGGCCAACCCTCTGATCTTTCCCTTAAATGCATCTTGCATGCTAAAGCATGCACAGGCAGAGACAAGTAAAACAAACAGCAAAGCTTATGCCCCCCTGCACACTTTGGAAAAGAAAAGTGAAACGCCTTCATTTTGAAACTTGCCGTTGCGCTGTTCCTATAGTTGTTTGACTCTACCCTACAAGATAAGGGTTTGAATTCCGCTCATTCAACAAACACCCATGACATGAATGATGAAAGTGGGAGGGGCATCCCTTAAAGCAAATTGCAGCTCTTGCTGCCAAAGTGCTGTCACGGACGAAGCGGTCAACGATGTCCCGAGCATGGACATCCAAGATGATCAAAGTATTGACCTTCACTTGAGTGTCTGGTTTCGCATTGAATAGGAGGAACTCTCTGACGAAATGCTTCAAAGCCAATTTCTAAATGCAACGCAACTAGTATATAAATCAGAGTGGATGACAGGTGCCGCTTCTTGGTGCGCCTTCTTCCGCTGCAACTTGTTGATGGGGGAGCGCACAAAGGCAACCAAATCCTGCGATTTCGTGATGAACATTCATCAATACTAGTCAAGTATCATGGATTAATCTGGATTAATCAATATTGATGGCTCATGTTCAGGAACTTCTCCCATCTTCTCCCACATTTCCTTCCAAGCCGCTCAGCCCATCCAGTCATCCAATCAGATAAGCGTCCTGGACCTGTTGGTTTTCCTTCTTCAACTCGTTCTTCATGGCGTTCTTGTCTCCATCGGCGACCTTTCTAAAGGCGTCCTGCGGCAACGGAAAAGATGGAGAAGCAAGGCGTCCCATTGTCTGCCTTTGAAATTTAATTTCCAAGTGCATGTCATGTCATAGTCATAGAGTCATCATGATTATGATTCCATTGATCTACGACCCCAGCCTTGAATACTATCTGCCATTGTTCAAGCGTAGGCTTGGATCATGCCGGGCTCCTCCACTTGCCAAGTCCACCAAATCTGAGTGCCGAGGATGGCCACCATGCCGATGTAGTTCTGGATCCACTCCATCCTCTCCTGCAGCGAAGCTCCGACGCTCAGACTTGGCGATGAGTCGATGCCCTGATGCCCCGATGAAAAGCAATTTCTGAGCATGGCGCTTGAGATGCATAGTAGTAGACCTGGAGAGTGGAACAACTGCTGCAAAAAGGTGGAAATGAATCCATTTCAACTTTTCATCTATAAATGTGTGATTGTTCAGATTCTTCACATCCACTGTCAGGATGCAACAGTCATTTTCGCCAAGCAACAGCGCTCTTTGAAATCCTCTGAAGGGTGTCTTGCATCTGCTCGTCAACGGTGAGCATCCTCATCAGCCAACTTCACGGACAGCCAAGTGGGGGGAACCCCAACGCCTGGGGATACCCTGGATGCTTTGCTGGAAAATCCCATCTATGGATGAACACTTTTTTGTACCTCAAAAAATCGGATGCGAATCTTGAGATCTTGAGGACGGTACCAATCTTCGACAGCTCCTTCGGCCTGCGTTTCATGTTCAACGCTGTGACCATGTGGAGGTTTCCGAATGGCTGGGGATACCCCAAATCATCCAAATTACACCATTTTAGTATTGAAAACCCATGGTTTTGCGGATCCCCTATTTTGAGACATGTCCATGTTGGTTGCCAAAGTCTAGGCCACTTCAAGTTGACGAAGCCAGTAGAGATACAAAGACGAGCTGTTCTCCCAGCCTTCTGTGCTTGATGAAAACGGAAATGCTCCCCTTCATCGGAATACATGCCCACCACCGTCTGCACACAGGGGGCACTGCCACAATGCAGTAGTGTTCAGAGATGTTCAGAGTACAGAATGCAAATGTGATCTATGTGGTTGCCATTTCTCTGAAGCAATAATAAATAGTTGAGCCACAACCCACGCCTTGCCACGGCTGAATTCCAGCGTCTTGCAGTTGTCGAAGAGTTTGAGCCTGTTATCAAAGTAGTCAAACATGTTTGAAGATTTTGAAGAGAGTGAAACAACAAAGAGTAGGACCAAGAAAGAAACATACTACAGCTTCCCCCATCCAAGTAAACAAAGTTGATGATTTCCCCCCTGACTTCCAGGTTCTGCCGTGGAGATCTTTGTCCCCGGATCAAGAATTTGTGCCGGGCAGACATGTGGGGCTGCACCGCCTGCCAGATTCAAACTGTCAAAATGTCCGAATAAAAAGTGGGTCCTTTTTCATATCGTGCCTCATTAAACTATCATGTCCTTCTATTCCGTGGTGAATTTCTTAGGCCCTTCTATTTACATTATAAAGATATTATATATATATATACATATAAAATCATATAAATATGATGTGTTTCCAGGGTTTCTAAAATACCTTGCCCCCACCTGGGCATCACTGGTACCCAAGATGCTCAGCAACTCGTCGTCGGAGATCAAGTAGAAGCGCGGAAAGGCCGAGCGTTTCGTGTCCAAATAATCCTGCGAAAAAAGGTGTCGGATCTCGTGGCGGTTTTTCTCCGCAGAAATTTCGGGTGGATTAATTTCCATAGATTTCAGATATGTGGCGGAATTGAGATATGGATGTGAATCACAAATATGGCAATATGTATTGACCCGGTATGTTTTTTGCCAGATGATGGCTATTGGTGGCAAGTGATCAAAAGTGAATCTTGCTGATATGCAGCACATTTGCTGCAAAGTGCTTCCCGGAAACACCCAGTCCGTCAAGGATTTCTGAATCCTCAGCAAACAGGATTCCACAAGACTACAAAGCACCTTCCACAAAGCCATGGCACGAGAGGACTGGATGAGTGAAACTTGATCTGCCATGGCACCGGTCAAATTCTGATGTCAGGCCCTTGAACTCTTCCAAACGACCTTCCTGGCAACAAAGCTCAACAAACATCTGAGAAGAGTGAATCGGACCAGAGATGGTGATGACGACTGGCACGATGAAAATCTTGGAGTCTTTCAGTCCAGAAAACATCTAAATGATTCAGCAGGGTGTCAGAAAAACTGTTGGAAAATCACCCAGAAACCTCACAACACCACAACGAGTCATGAAGCCTGGCAGCAAGAGGAGATCACCTGCGGTGATGCCTGGCCATGATGACGCATAACTTGGTGAATTCGATGGTTTTTTATTGGGGATATATATATACATATATAATGATATATCTCTAGCTAATAGGATTAATAAACCAACTTAGAACTGGGGCGGGCCTCACCTATGTATATATATATATTAAATATTATGATACGTATACATAATTGGTTTCTTTAAGTGTATACAGTACAATGTGTCAGATTGTTTTTGTATTTTACTGAGTATCAAATTGTCAATGGAATATTGCGGGGATATATTCTGGATGTCCAGGATGTGTTAGATTGATTTTGAAGGCAAAATCTACGCGAAACCAGTGTTTTTAATAACATTTTTTTTAGCGGGATGCAGATTTTCCCATTCCCTCCTATCCTCGGACTATTGGTTGTTAATCCTTTGCCCCTAGTATCAAATATCCGCCAAAGAAAATCCTGGTGAAATGTATTGGCTCTATTCATTTTGCTAATTAACCAGTCTGATAAATTGGAAAAGGAGATCCAAGGCGTTGACTTTCAAGTTGCCACAGAATGAAAAGTGCCACAGGTTTCTGGTTCAGCAGCAGCTCAGCAACTGTCCAAATTCAATCTAGACCTGAAGCTGGACAATCCCAAGTCACACCTGGGTTGTCTGCATAATCTTGACATAGTTCTTGTGGCATCGACCAAACCTATTGGCTCAGACCAATAGGTCAATGCAGCTGATCGGCTGACTTCGATGCTTATCGATGCTTCACATGGGAAAGACCCTCTGACACTCAGCATCCGTCTCCATTGAGCCCGGGACTGCTTCGCTTGTTCCGGAAGCTGCATGCTGATGTCCTGGAAATGGCGGCTCGATGCGTCACGACACTGGGGAAGTTTGCGAATCCAAAGACACGAAGACACGAAGACACGAAGACACGAAGACACGAAGCCAAGGCACTTCAGAGTCGAGGAAAATGCTCTCCAGATACATCCATTTCCTCAAAAATGGATAAAAATGGTGCAAATCTATTCAGCTGGGAAGCAGCATTCTAGACCATCTAGAGATCTCAGGGTAGTGCCGTTGGAGCACCATCCATGCATCAAAGACCTGGGATGTTCAGCTGGCCATGCAGCATGCAAAACCAATGGTTTCCCCATTGAGAATGATGGGGATTCCTCCACGTTTAGAAAGACCCACGTAACATGGCCCATCTAGTCAACTCTGTGATGACTCTGAGTCCCTGTGGTAATTCGGCCTCACTCACCACAGAGAGGTTCTTTTCCCAGCGCTTGATGGTGTCCAACCTGAAACGATCAGTGCTTCGGAAGAAGTCCCAAGTTTCTTAAGTTTCTTACTTGTGCTAGTAGGGAATGGGCCGAATGGGGCTCATTTCAGTCATTTCCCGATTCCCAAACCGTAAAAAGCACATACCTTTAGCACCAGAATGGTTGGATCCGCTCTGAGTTCATCGCAGCTTCAGGGCGTACTTGGACGAACTCATGGACTGCAGGGTGAGCACGTGATCATCCAAGGTCTGCTTCCTGCCGGGCTCACGATGCTCACGGTCTCCACGACTGAGATATTGAAAGTCCCTGGGACCGCGCTTAGCCAAGTGGCATCTCTTCATTTGGCAACAGAACATAGCCTGACAGAGTCAGATCAAGGCCATCTGACACACACATTCATCTCAAGAAGCTGGCCAATTTCCTGAAATTTTGCTAGTCGTTCATCTCGTTTACAAGTCTGGTTGTGGTTGCTTCTCTCCACCGGGCTGCCTCTTGGGTTCGAAGGTTCGCCCTTGTACCTCTGTCCACTTGCACAAATGGTTGCAACATCTTGGCAAAGCCAGACAGAGACATCATGCTCAGTGACTACTGTCACGTGCATGTCACATTCCAAAAGCCTGAATTCGATGCAAAAGGAAACACAAGGTAAAACCGGAAAGCCCTATTGGATGTGCTTTGCAGCGCACGGCTTGAGGCCCAAAAGCATGCTTCGCCAAGTGCTGTCAATCTGGCAAAGCAGGATTATTTTTTGTTTCTGCGACATGTTTTAACCAGTTCTGAACTGTTGCTTTGGCTCGTTGTGTTTCAAAAAAATGCTCCCAAAGGTTATCCTTGGCGAGCTCGCTCTCAATCTTCAGCTCATTCTGTGCCTGGACGATTCGAACATTCACAACATGGACATCTCTCACAGCCTCCCAAAATGTCTTGAAAATCCCTTAAAATTTGAAATGTTAGGGAAGAGGGGCATCATGCTGGCAAGCAACAGTCACCACCAGCTCATTGACTTCATCCGGAAAGCGATGCAGCTGCATTGAAAACACGGCGTTCAAAGTCATTTTCTTGATGTCGAAGTCTTCCTCAAACAGCATTTCAGCATTTCAACTCAAGCTTTTCAAAACTGCAAGACAGTGTAAATCCGATGTCTCTTGTCTTAACCATACAGCTGCCTATATCTCATGACTTGGTTGGTCGGTTATATTTTACAGGAGAAGCCTGTGCTTTTCTCAATACTGGAACTGGGACCCACTGGGACAACGGTCATCCGTCCCCTTTCTGCCCCTCAGTGGCTGACCGTCTCGACTTCCGCCAAAGTCATGAGCTCCTCCCAGTGCCCCTTTCGGATGGCATCGCTCTTCAGCTGTTGGATCAGCGGAACTCCAGCCTGCACGGCTGGGCTCACGATGGCGACGATGGCTATGATGCAAAGTTACCAAATTTCGTCCAAAATCAATTGGAGAATGTGTATCGTTACTTTAGTTGGAATGTTGAGACAAAACATTGACCAAATCTGCGTCAATTTTGACTTTGGCCCATACCACATTCTCCAACAGCGCCATCCGGGCCCTGTGGGATTCTTGTATTGCAGGTGACTCATGAGCGATTCACGCAAGCCTTGAAAGAGGTCACAACCTCCTCCAACTTTTGGAAGGTTTGCAGTTCACCCAGTTCTTTCTGCTCCTGCAGACTGTTCAGATTCTTCAGCCACTCAAGACGAAAATAGTTGAAAATATCAAGCCATGTCAATCATGTAACGTACCTCGAAACTATAGCAAACTGAAGCGGCAAATCTCCTTGGGCATGCGCCTTACCTGTTTGTCGAAGTCTTCTGCTCCCTTTGTCAAAGCGTTGATGTCAAATTTGGTCCAAAGGGCCTCAGAGGGAAACAAACAGTTTCATCAACTGTACAAATCCATAGGAATCCCGGAGGATTTCTTCGAGCCCACATGGCTTCTCAAAACCAAACAGAACATCGCTTTCCCCACCAAAAAAAAAACTATAAAACCAGTTTGGGATGATAGCTTAGGATCCTGAAAAAATCTGGGAACCCCCCCTTTAAAATCCTAAAAATGTTCCTGAGAAATGACTGGATGTTTCAACTGTAAACTTGCAGCAAAAAAAAACGTTTGGGATCCAAGAGATCCCACTGTGGGCCAGGCATTGCTGAACTCGTTCACCATGGAACTGTGATCAATGTAGACCTTATAGATCTGCTGCAGAAGTCGCAAGTCCTACAGATCTGTGGAAGCCATGCGGCTGACATCGCTCTGTGAAAGTATCATCCCCGGCCACATCAAGCCATAGTGCAGGTTTTTTCGTCAACTTCAAGTATCATCTCATTCATCCCATTCCCAAACAAATGGAATCGACCATGTGTTTAAGCCAGAAGGTTTTGGTACATCAAATCTCTCCTTTTCGAGCTGCAGCAGCTCTGGATAGGTCTGAATGGGCAGGTTGAACAGCGTTTGGGCTTTCACCAAGTCCTGCGTGGCACTGGTACTGATCAGCGCCATCTTTTTTGGCAAATTTTGATCGGAAAATCCTCGCGCTTTCGCTGGAACTGTTTCACGTTGATGTCGTACTTCTTCATGAGTTCCTTGGTAAAATTGGGTCCAAATTGCTCAGGGTTCGGCTTCGAAGGATTGGTCTGCCATGTCACAAACCGACCCTCTTGCTGTCAAATGTCCACTCCCTCTTCCAGCGAGACGTCCGAACCAGGTCCTTCCTTTTTGAAGACCTTGCAGGGAAAATGGACAGCGGCAGGGATCTCTATCCCAATCCTATCGAAGTTTCTAAGCCTACAAATTCACGGATTTGAATGGAGCTGACCCTACTCAAAATAGATCTGCAGGATTTTATGAGTATTTATGAGTATGTATTTTTGAAATATACCTTTTAAAAAATCACCATAGAAAAACCCTTTCAATATACCAATGACCATGGTGTCAGATCCAAATCCAAATCGCTTTCCTGTTCCGCCTGCAGGAGCTCCTTGCACTCCGTGGAGAAATCCTTCACCTGCGACATCTCGGTAGAAAGCCCATCGACCCTCTGAGAATCTAACATTGCCATGGAAAATGGCAATGTTTAATGGGTAATTATCATCCACAAAATGGCAAGGTCTAATGAGTAAAATCATCTATACCCATTAATGGCTAGATCATGGTAAATCATCTACAAAATATGTTAATATTGCAAGGTACATCGTGGCTATTTTGAATCACCAGAGGATGCAGGAAACCATCACTTTACCAACCATATTCAACAGGACATGAACCATCAACGCACAAAAAAATCTGCCCCGCTCCTGCTCCTGTGTGACTTGAGAAAAGTGCTCTTTCACCTCATATGTCACAGTTCAAACGATGCGGAAGGAAGGACTTGCAGATCATAATTGTGTATAGTTATATATATATATACATATATAGTTCTCATAGGCATTTGAACGGTTTCTGACAATCAGGAAACCCTTTTTTCCCATGGGTTTCTCTATGAAAAATGACCCAGACCTTGATATAAAGTGGGATCCCAACATGATTTAGGAAGCCCGAAGATTCAGCTTCACACCCTGACCATGCGCCGGTCTTTCGTGAGGGCTTCGTCCTGCAGCAGAAGCAAAGATGGCAAAGGATTGGCGGATAAAAAGCGGGGATTTGGCCATCCTGCCATCACTAATAGGATTCCCTGTAAACGCCAACTAATGGGGATATGTAATGATACACACACACATATATATATATATATAGAGAGAGAGAGATCAATATGATATGATATAAGCATCCCCCTATTATGGGAAAATAGCAAACTATAACCATACATAACCTATGTTTTGAATGCGGCACATCTGTTGAACTCTCAGCTTGGACTCTGGGACTCGCTTCGTCCTTCAACAGGCGCCACATTTCTGTGAGAGCTTTCGCATCTTCATATTCCTAACGTCAGGTGCGTTTTGTGCACATGGAAGCTGATCCAAAAGGTGTTTTTCCCCAGTCATAGCCATTTAAATGGGAAACATTATATATGATAAACCAGTGGATTTGTTTTTTCCCATAAATGATCACAGACATACCTGTGCATGTCCTGGCCTGAACATCGTACTGGCAGTTGTACAGCTCAAGCGTGCGATAGCGCTCCCGGACATCCTAGTAAGCCGCAGGACTTGCTATTGAAAAATGGGTAAGAGTGAAGATATGAGAAATCGCGGGAACAAAAAGGAGTTGTTCCCCTAATCAAAAACCATGAAGTTTCTATCTGCTCAAAGTGTCATAAATCTTCATGAAGATCATCTCATATTGGTATGGTTTCATCATCGGCAGAGCTGATGTCCTGCATGCGCAACTCCATGTCCATGGACACAGCCAGAATCTTTGAAATGATGCTGAGGATGAACTTCCTGGCAAATCCGTCATGGCAGACATGGCAAATGGCTAAAATTCAATACAAGCCGTCCAGACAACTTGTCCAAAGAATCCGGATTTTCCTGCAAGTCATCCTTAGATTCAGGACTGAGGCTGGCGATGCTGGCGGACACAAAAATGTCACAATGTTCGTGTCTGGTGCCTTTTGGCTGCTGGAAATGCTCAGCTTCATGCCCGGAATTCGGTGATCTCCGCTTGAATCTTCGTGAGATCCTGGACCATCAACGGGACAAGCTGAACGTCGGGCGTGGCACCGTGGCACCACACACCACGCCTTGTACGCGAGCTGACGCAAGATGTCTCCATATCCAGCCACCCAATCCATTGCCTGCGGTGCCAAGCGGCCAAGCTGCGCTGATCCCAAGTCCACCTGATCCACCTACCTGGCCTGTGTTCGGATGGCTGCCACAATAGAGGTGCAATCAATCCTCACGAAGCCAATGTCCTGTCCGGTCTGGATTTGTCAAGATCAGGCTGCATGGCGACCCTTCAGTTTGTAGTCAAAATCGCTAGTGCAAACACAAAACTTGATTGAAAACCTCATGTCATTTGGAAGAACATGTGATTTTTAGACTCCTTCTCTGGCGGATATGCTGCCAAACTGTCAGCCAAACTCTTGTAGACCTCAGGCTCAAAATCTCACCCCTCTCAGCCTCTGACAGTCCTGTCTTCAAATGGGTCCAAGGGGTACCCGTAAAATCCAATGGCTGACTATGATTCTCCGTTGAAATTGCCATCTAATAGAAATCTCTCCTCGAGCGGTCGAGTTCACCACCTTGCAAGTCCCAAAAAACTCTAAGCTCAGCTGTTGAGGAAAAGACGCAGATGTGCGCGTCGAAGAAAACAAATGGTGGTCGCTTCTCCTTCACCTTTTCGAGGTCTTGCTTCCACTTTGGGTCCTGAAAAAATGGCTTTGGCTCAGCTCATCAAAACTCAAGGCGCTCCACGGTGTCACACATCAGCCCTTGGTAAGTCTCAAGCCCACAGCTTCCAGCGATCTTCGTAGCGTTTCCAGTGGCGTAGGAATTTGTCCTCAGCTACACCACCTCTCTGGGGGGAAAATATGATCTGAGTGATACCGTGATGCCCAGCAATCTGGACTTGTTGGGCTCATATTTTTTATTCATGTACAATTGTTACAATGCAAAGGAGAATCGATGATGGAGAAGATTTTCTGGATGCTGTTCTGAATGTTGATCGTCATCTCGAAGAGAGCAGGATTGTCCTGCAGACAGCGACCTTTTGTAAAACAGCTGGAAGCTTCCCATTGCGGCGGCTGGTTGCTGATGGTCAACTACAGCTCCTTGACATCTCGATAGAACGTGAACCTCATGGCATGTCAACGTGCAAGGAACGTGCAAGGACCATCAAGGTCTGATTTCATTGGATTTGAGCCATTTGGGCTGTCAACATCTGCTGTTGCTCATCTTCTTGACCAGGCTGGGGAGGAACCTCGAGCAGAACAATGCAGAACCATACCCCGCTGACTCTGCTCTAATATTAAGTATATACGTAAATTTACATAAATATTTGTACAAATCCCTTATTGCATTAATATTGCATTAATATTACATATATCCGAATATATTCCGAATATATCCTTCCCAGAAATCCCTGAAACACCTGGCTTGGTTCCACTAAGCCTGGCACCATGCGGCAGGTGCCATCCATCCAGCGCACGAAGGATTTGGCTGACTGAATGGTGTTTTTCAGGAGCTTGCTGATCAATCTGAAGACCTAAGTTGGGTCACTGTGTTGCTAACGTTGGGATTCCGATCATCCAGCTGGTTAGATATATTACTGTACATAGTTTTGTTATATACTGTGGATATGTAGATGTATATAAATATACATACATATGTGGAAATACATATTATAATACATATATATGGAAATACAGAAATAAGAGTTTCAGCCCAGTAGATCCTCTGCTGCACTGCTCCACACTCCTGGACGTTTGGATTGAGACTCCAACGGATTGCAAGGCTTGGTCGTCAATCTCTGAGCCACTGCAGTCTGCCTTCACCCTCAACAACGGAGGCCTGCAACAGTGGTGTACATGAATTGGGTTCCTCCAAAAATTGCAGATCTACTATGATCTACTGCCATTTTAATGGAGAACATATCAGAAAATGCTAGATTTTGGGCTGCCCTTTTCCAGGGCAACCAATCTTCAGACAAACTCCAAGCCTTTTGCGCTCACCCGCACTGAAGAGGGTTTGGAATGTACTCATGCCTCGTACGCAAAGCGACACAAACTGATTCAAGAGTCTTTTGTTGTCAGCTGGTAAGGCTTGGCCTCGCAGCAGCATGGTCGTGATGGCATTGAAGATACGGCGTTCCCAATAGTGATAGTACCTGGCAGCAGCTTCCTTATCAGCTGCTGAATTCCGCCTGAAGGTTTCCCTGCGCACTCTGCCATGGATGGAGCCATTCCAGTCTTGGTGCCGGCGGTTGTTTCCTCGCAAAGTCTCATGTTTCTTGATCTGAGCACAACTTTCACTTCGGACTTTGAGAATTTGTTACCACAAGAAAGATGCCCGGCCTCGATCTTCACAAGGAATGGCCCTATGGAGTCATACTTCTTCCTGAGATCAACCCGCATGCAGAGTCCAGTTCCCAGAGTCCGAGTTTTCCTGTTGCGTTTGCACATCGTGGGGACCAATAATTCACGATGTTTTCTGATGCTTGCGGTACCTTCAGTTCATCCTCATGGTGAAGTTCCCAGTGGCTTCACTTCGCCAAGCGACACTAGGTCTTCTAGCTGCGCCAAGCGATGCCTGCAATTGCCCCAGCAAGATAGAAAAAATGGCAAGAGAAGAGCGAATAGATGGCTGGGATATGATAGGACCAAAGATATCTTGGAAGTTTTATTCTTGTAGCACATTGCTTCGCCACATCTCATCAATCCCACCAATCGAGGGATGCCTCTCGAAGAACTCTCCAAACTCCATGTGATCCATGACATCTGCCCGGTTCCAGTCAAACGGCCTTGGCTGGACAAAAGTCCGGCATCACTTGCTAAATAAAAACTCAAAATGAAACTACAAATGGAACCACAAATCTGTTGGGGTGGTCAAGTGGTCAAGCCCCCATTTTGACCAGTAAGATCCCGAGACATGTCATGACATGTCCGTTATGTTGAAGGGATTCATAGTGACTTTGAGGGCCAGCTCGTCGCATCAAAGACACCGAACCAAGGTGGCGTTTTCAATGGCACTGACAACATTGGCTATGCGCTCCTGAAGGGCGGTTGCTCCCAACCCCAAATACCAGCAGGTAAATTTCCCTCGCAATGAGGCAATCATGCTCCCAGGTTGAAGCAACCTTGCTAGATAGGGACGAGAAATTGCAACTTTATACTTGATGGATTTTCATAGATCTTTCTAGATCTTCAGAATCAAGTTAAGCAATAAAAGTTTCAACCTCACCCAAAATTCCAAAACGGTCAGTCCTCGCTCTTCTCGACTTGATCACGAAAGGCTCCACGGAACTTGGTGATGCCCTGATTTCCGGCCTGGCAAAGCACTCGCATCCCCCTCAGATCCCACGGCGTCACGGTGACGTCACGAAAAACAAAAAACGCCTCGATGAAGTCAGTGATTCCCAGGGAATTCCAGTTCAAGGGCGACAAACCCGGACCTACACATGTCTCGGAGCAAGAGCGAACGCAGATAAGGAAACAATAAGAGATCAGTCGATCAATCGATCCGTCTCAAGGTTTCCAGGACATGAATCACAGATACAGTCTTGAGGGCCAAACTGAGGCACTTGTCAAGATCCAGGATTTGTTTTCTCAGAAGCTTCCTTGGCACTTCATAAAGCGAAAACCGTTTCTCCAATTGTCAACCTGCCACAACTCCAAGCCAAGCTGCTGCTGGACTGGTGACAAGTCACCAACTGCGGCATTGTATGCATCAATGAGCAGATCCAGTTGCTCCACAAACTCCTGCAGAAGGCAGTTGCGTCAGGAGGCTGTGAAGCAAGGCTTGTGCTGCGTTTTTTAGGCCTGCTTCAGGCGTCGTCGTCATTGTCATCATCCAGAAATTCCACCACAAAAACCCACACCTTGTACTGGTCTTGCTGTAGCGCCACGTTCAGAACCTGAGCTCGTGGGGTGATATCATGTGATACCTGGTTCTGGCTGCGCAGTGCCTGTTGTGAAAACATGCTGACAGGTGGCTGTATGAGGAAGCTCAAAGCCACCCAACTGATCCAGATATTTGGCTTCGCGGATCAGGAGTTGCAACTCCTGGTCGAGAGCAGCTAGGCTTGAGGCCAGAGATTTCTCTGAAACCCCAATGTTTGCAGAACCATCCGAACTCGAACCGTATTAGTCAGCAGTGTTGAGTGAGGTGTCTTATTCCCGAGAAATATTTCAGCCTCCAACGGTTTACCTGGCAATACCTGGCACCCGTACCGCATCATGGGCAGCGTCCTTGGCAAAATTCACCTTGTACGCTCCAGTGCGAGGATCCTTGATGAGCACGTTGTACCTGAGGAAACACCAACTGGTTTGATCCACGCATTGCGTTAGTGCAGCTTCTTCCCTTGAGGGTTTATCCCAAACACATAAGTTTTCCCCAATTCATATTCCAACAAGCATGTAAGCTAGTTCTGGTGACTTTGTTTAGACTGGAGTCATATAGTCATATAATGTCATATATATAGTCATATAGTAAAAAAAGAGTCCGCCCAGGATCATTGGAGAAACAACCTATTGTCAATCCAAAAGGGGAGAAGACTGGAATTATCTGCGTAGACACAGCCTTGGAATGGCCAGTTGTTTCGGAGTAACCATGCAGGCAAAGAGCAAGCAGGTGGGGAGGATAGGGTCTCACAGTTTTGCAAAGACAGGAGTAAAATGTGCAAAAGCCTCATTGCAAAACTGGAGTCAGCAGTAGCAGCTTTGTTTCCTCCCAGAGTCAGTATTTGAATCAAAGTTGTTTTAATGTTTGATCGTTCTATGCCCTCATTCTCATCGAAATGCGTGGAATGCTTGGGATATCTCTTTATTGCGCTGATCTATTGCTAGGAAACTTCAGAGGTCACAAGTAAACGCATCTCAGGTACTACATCTGATCAGTTACTTCTAGGTGTCCCTTTTCCAGAATGTTGATGAAGTTGAGTAACAGGGTCCGGTCTGTTAGCTTGCAAAGGCTGCAGATGGCTACAGTCGAGGTGCATGCGCCAAGCAGCAACAGTTCGTCACAAAAAGATTGCAAGGAGCAAAATTCGCAGGGAATCAAGATGTCATGCGCAAACAAAAAGAAGTGGCCAATTCCGACAAGTCATACAAGCCAAAGAATTGCCAAGTAAAAGTCAAAACTTCTCAGTTCCTAGCTGCTCACTTCGTTCCAAGGTACTTCAAGCTCGAGACAGCCAGTTCAACAGCAGTTGTTTGCCAGGCTTGGAAGAGCGCTTGTTCCTGATCTGCTTAGCTGAGGGAATCTGGTTGCGCAGATCGGATTTCTTGGGATTTCTAGGGTATTCTGGTTGCAGCTCAGGTACATATTCTAAAATCTCTTTGCCAAGATCCACGTACTCCTGAAATGTTCAAATTTGGCCAAGTCTGATCCCAACAGTGTGGGCTGGAGATCATGCTTGTCTGTGCAAAGTGGCCAAATATGTCCAAATTGCTGCGTCACACCCTCAGCCGGCCTTGCACGCTTGTTGTCCTTCTGGAAGCTGGAGCCTGGCATCGCAGCCAGATCGGGTCTGAAAATGGTCGGCTTTTTCCCTGACTTTCCCTGACTTTTCTCTGCGCAAACCAGACCTTCCAAAAAAAAAAAGCCAAGCCGGCATGACAAGTGAGGCATCGTCTTGAAGGACAAGATCGGACGTTTGGCTCGGTGGAAAATGCTGCGAGCCCAGAGAATCGCACCCGCAGTGGGAGGCGTGCTTTTGGAGATCGGCGGATTCTCCTGGCACTGAAAACTGTGTGTTTTCTCTGATTTTTTTGGCGGGGACAAACCAAAACTTCCATTTTATTCTCATTTTACCAATTAGAATTATAAACATATAATTTTCAGACACACTCAGCGACAATCAGTTCAGCAACTATGGTGCACTCACCTGGTCTCTTTGGAAGATTTCCTTCAGCTTGCCCACCTCAACACCTTACGAGTCACGTCAGCTGCGTTCGGTGAAGGTTTCCTTCCCCTAATAAATATATGGACATAGATATAGATAGATATAGATATAGATAGATGGTCTGGGCTGCTCGCGATATCGCAGCAAAATTGCCACAAACTTCTCGTTCATCTTCTTGTTGATTCGCTCACCTAAAGAGCACTTGAAAAAGGCATGCCAAAGCACAAAAAATGTCGACTTTCCACCGCAAAATGATGCAAACGTGCGAATGTCTGCAAGTTGAGATTCGCACGAGACTCGATGTTCTTGAAGTTCTGAAGCAATTTGAAAGCTCCCTGGCGGTGCAAATAAATGACACGTCATGACATCCTTCCAGTCGCCACATGTGGCAACACTTTGTATCAAGATATACTGAGCCCGTAATTGCTGCCTCTGCAGAGCGAAGATTTTGGAAGGATCGATTCCTCAAAATATTGGCAGAGGCACCACTCACCACTGGACTTGTATGGAGGGTGCACTAGCACCAGTCCACTGAATTTCACCAAGTTGCAGGAACTTGATGGCTCGCTCCTCAATGATTGTCACCCTGTCCTTGAACCTTGCAAGAATTGCTTGAGTTGAAGCAGCTGACAGCCTTATTGGATCTTATTAGCACATCATTCAAGCCAAAGCACTTCGCGATTGAGCTTTCCCAGTTGGAGTAATGGAAATCGTCAAAGACGTTTTTCACATTGCCTTGGCTTCTTGCCACAGCAAGTTGCAGATCATATAAGATCATCAAAATCGACGAGGAACCAGGAATCCGTCGCCATACTGGGTATCCCGAGCGAAAGTCTGTCTTCAGATCTTCAACTTCTTTCAATAGCTGATCGATGCCTGAGTTCAAAATTACATAAAATTACCCCAATAATTTTAGCTTGACCAGTCGCCACTGCGGCACTGTGGCAACTGTGGGCCACTGTGGCACTGCACCTTGTGAGTCACCAGTCACTTCCTTCAGCTCCGGCCCCAGGAATTTGTAAAACCTCAGCAAGTAACCCTCCTTGAATAGGAATCATCAGCCATTTCATCACCGTGACGTTCTGAAGGTCACCCCCAAATCAAAAGGCTACCAGTAAGAACCCATCTTGGCACATAAGGATCAGCCATTTCCTCCGTTTGCAACTGCTTGGCTGATGTCACTGTGACAGGTCTGTTTTTCGGGGCCAAGACTGGTCCAGGACCTGCATGATTTCGTAGAGGTCGGTGCAGATTTTGGACCTGCCAAAGGCGGTGCAGCTCAGCAATCGGTTCAGCAGTCGCACTGCCCTGCACCCTGCTCGGCCCTGCTCTCCAATTTTTCGCTGGAGGACATGTAGTTGGTCTTTTTGAAGAGGAGCACCCGATCAAAGTCCCAGCCTCAGCTCCCGTATGGGATTGCTCCAAGGCGCACAGGATTCATAGCATGAAAAAAGACAAAGAGTTCGAGAGTGCCGTTCAAACTGTGTATTTGTTTCACATATAGATGGAACCAGCGGCATATTTTGACGACTTGCGGGGGCTAATTCGCTCACACTCCATCAGACTACTTATCTTTCATCAGCACTAAAATGGATCATGGGTCAAAATTGTGTCCCAAATGTATGGTTTCATACAAAACTTACAAAACTATCAAAATCTGTGGTTCAATTCGCAAATTTCAGCATCTCCTCGGCGACTCGTCGCCAGAAAGTCGGGCTCCAGACGCTGATTGGTGGCACTTTCTTCCATCTTGTCGCGTGTGATCAGGTAGATGTCAGACCACTTCCTGAGTTCCAAAAACGCGTCAGTTTCACTCAAACATGCTGGAAAGGTTGATGAGGTTGATGCCCAACCAATGCCAGTCCAATTTATCCAGTCCAATATATCCAGTCGAGCACTCTGCCATTTGCTCCAAGAGTCACCAGAGCATTCTTGCCATCTTCGATGATTTGCATCGCCTGGAAAAACGCATGGTGAAGGTTTCAGCATCGCAGGAAGTCGCTGAAGAAACCCGGGGCCTGGCCTTTGGAGGGTCCAGCGACAAGATCTGATTGATGTTGATCTGCTCCTCAGACCCAGCCACAGGCTGGAAACCTCTTCCACACGAGCAGCTAATAGTGACATTCCATAGTCAAATTCTGCACACCAGAGATTTGGGTAATTCTGGATTCAAATTGATCCATTTTGATCCAAGAAACTGGGGGTCAAAAGTTAGTTGGCAATTTTACGCACATCCATTACGGATGTCTACTGGAAATCCATAGTCTTTACAGTAAAAAACCTAGAAAAAATGGGCTCCAGTGGATACTGCTCCTGCACTTTGTCTGCAATCTGATCAGCAATGCGTCCCATCAGCCGCTCCATATCCCTGATCGGGACTCTAAAAGTCATGGAACTCTGGTTTTGTTTTTGGTTTTGCTATGGAAATTGAGAGACTTCTCCACTTCTGTAGTCGCTTCCGGAAGTTCAATGGGTTGATGCGACAAGTTGCAGGTGTTCAATCCCGAATCGGACTGGTATCCTGTATTTGTTTTCCACCAATTCTCGGAGAAGTACAAGCACAAAAATGAAGATCTGAGAGAATCGCTTGTCAGTGTTGAAGTACCGCGAGATGATCCAAACCTCAGAGTTCGCACCCACAGGAAACTCCTCCAGTGTTTGGCCTCTCCAGATATTCTGTGACTGATTCGACTCAACTTAGTAATGTGAAACTCAATATCAAATGAATTCAAATGATATCTAATGTGTCATCTTTCAATACCAGTATATATCCATCATAAAACATGGATCCAAAAAAAATGGATTGGTTCAAGGGAAAACCGTAACCGGAAAGCAGATCTTCCGTTATTTTCCCCTGAAGCAACACTGGAAACAATCCATTTGAGCCATTAAAGATTATATATATATACATATATATATATATACATATGTGTATATATATATATGTATATATATGTATATATATATGTATATATATATGTATATATATATGTATATATATATATGTATATATATGTATATATATATGTATATATATATATGTATATATATATGTATATATATATATGTATATATATATATATGTATATATATATGTATATATATATATGCAGATTTCCCTATCCCATCTCATTGTACTAGTTGGTTGAAAACGGTTTTCCCGCTTAGCCTATGGGCTATCATAATCCCCAACAAATTTGGTAGTACCGATCAACCAGGGTATACCCAATCTTCATGCCTCGTCCTGGGGTCGGCACCATCCGGATGGCATTCATCAACGAAGGCAGCGTCTCCACAATGGTCTGCATCGATCCTGTTGCCAAGCTCTTGAAGTGTCGCCTTGGCATTGCACCATCCAACAGAACTCGTGAAGCATCCGAGACTTCAGTGGGATAATGGGATATCAATGGATATCATAGATATCAATGGAATATGTATGGGAAATACTGGAAACGAATGGGATGTGAATAGGAAATCAATGGGATATGTATGATATTAATATATATATATATTAATCATCCACCATGTCTATGTCACTGGGATATCTCCCTGTCAACCAAGTCACTCCAACGTGGTCAGGAACTTGACGTTGTCCTTGGCCACGACGTGCATTCCCTGCAGGGCTCCAAACTGATCCTGGAGAGCAACGGAAAGGCCACGTCAATGCTACGTGATTCCAAGACAAAGTTCCCAAGAATACCAGATAAACTCAAGAAGAACACCAGGAAATTGATCATGACTATTATAGTCTTCTGGGGTACACTACACTTATGATGAGTCATTGGGATCAATTTGGGATCATTGGTTGAACAACTTGTACCGCAACGTTTAACAACTCCGGCGGCTCCAACTTCTGTCCTGAAACTGCTGCAACACCGGCGGCTCAGAAGCCTCAAGGACTTCAAGGACCTCCGAGCTCAGAAATTTAAGGAGAACTGCTTGACTCAAAGGCAGAGTTTGGGAGCTCTCAAGGTGGCAAATGGTGGCAATCATATACCTATCACAGTATATCTCAGAGAAACAACTCCCCAAGATTCTTCTCACAAGCTCTGAATCCAGCCTTTTTCACACCTGGTAGTTGAAGCTGTTCGTAGACGGTCGAAACTTTGGAGGAGCGATCCCTCCAGAAGTCGATCTCGGCCATCGGAGGAAGGCTCATATTCTCTTTTTCTTTGTCTCTTTCACCTTCCTGCGCTGAAAGGTCAAGAAGTCAAGGGTGACGCTAAAGCTGAGGAGATTGACTCCAAAGTTTGAGAATGTTGGGAATGATTCTTTACATGTAAAAAAAAAACATCGGCAGATCTGCACCTCTTTCAGGACCTTTTCTATGATGCTACTCCATTCAGTCACTGCCTTGCCAAAGGCAAAAACGAAGCTGCATGCAGAGTGCAAGCCAACAAGTTGGAGTCATGCATTCACTTCATGTGTAACATCCCAGGAGAATTCATGAGAGACAACGATCCGCGCTGCTTTAAGCAGTTTTTTGATAAGCTGCAAGAGACAAATGAATCAATAATATAATCTACAACGCTCATTCCCACCTGCTCGAGTATCGAGACTACGCTTGGATCGTGACGTGCTGCCTCCATGTCCTGAAGGTCATGGAATGCGCTAAGCCAAAAATCCAAGGCAGGCCTCCAAAGTTGTCTGCTTGGTTGAGGCAAATCAAATATATAGATTGGTGCATGACCTATACAATCCTACGTCTACAGTTTGCTGAAAATCATACTTTGATCGTGACTTGTCCACGAAGGCCTCCAGATCAACTGCAGGGACTCGAATATTCACGTTGCCATAGACCTGTTGCAGAGAACTCAATTATCACAAATAAATACAAATAAGTCTTGATGATCGCTTTAACAGCTTTCCAATATGTTCTAATCCATCAAGGCGGGAAAAACACAAAAAGAAAAGTCCCAGCCTGCACCACTGTTTGGTGAACATGTCCTCGAAATCTCACGGTGTAGCCCAAGATCTCGTCTTGGATGTGAGATGGCCTCTTCCACACGAGTCGGAAAAACATGTGACAAAACAAATCATGAACCATACCAGTACCTAAAGTCTACTAGTGGTGTAAAAGCTTTGAAAAATGTCAGGCCGGTGCAAATTGATGGCATCCGCTTCTTCCTCTGGTGCTACCTCACTGAATCTTCCAAAGGGAGCAGATGGCATTCGTGTCTTCGAGCAGAAGGTGAAGGGGCTGTCCGCGGCTCAGTTGCGCACGACTGCAGCTGCCACTATCTCCTTACTGAACGAATGGTTGCAGAGTTGCACGCAGATTTTCGAAGAAACAACACACACAAGACATGACATCAACAAATGATTTGATCACCTCCACTTGCTCAACAGCGGTCTTCTCAGCTGCCTCCTGTGTCGACTGAGAAGCTAAGTTGGTTTTTCACTGGATGAACATGGGTAAATTCCTATTTTTGGCAGCTAAATCCATATTTTTCATTTCTCAGTTCTCTGAACAGCACACCTCATCACCACCAGGCTCATTGCCACGACCGCCTTCATCTAGCTCTGAGCCTCGAAGTGGTGCAAATCCCAACCGTTTTGGTCCAGTCATCGTCTATGGTTTCTCAAAAGTTCCTAAACTCTTCAAGTGGTTTGTGAAAGTTGTAAAATACACTGATTGAATGACACCCGGTGTTTTTTTCTGCTGCATATCTGAGTTCCAAGCCATCAGCTGCAGCCTCTGCCCTTTCACAACAGCATGGTCCACCAGTCCACCATGAAATGAATATGGAAATGGACTTTGATACTTGCGGGTCATTTTCTTTAAGCACCACCCATCAGTTCTATGTCATCTTCAAACAACCCTCTATTCGGGCGGGAGTTTGAAGAGAAAAGGTCATGCCAACAGCCCCTGGACTGAGGAATCTGCTCTTCATCCTCCGCCTGTCACTGACGAATGTCATATCCCCTATGGGAAAATTATGGTTTTTGACACCAAAAAATAGAGCACTGTTGGATAGTTAATTTTGGGAAATTTTTCAACAAGAATATTGAGTAGTCTGCAAGAAAAATGGTGGTAACACCTATGACTGTCTTCCACCCTCACCTCAGATTCTGAACTCCGCCGGCGACTTTCGGCTTTGGCTCGATTGGTTCCTGTGCAGAAACATATTTTTGGTGCTCCCAGTTGGTAAGTGCTTACTATTCCGTCTTCATGTATAAATACATATACACATATAACCCATATATGTTTGGGGGTATTCCATATGTGGCTGTGTCATTATATCGTTAATAACACCGAAACTATAAAACTGAGAACCATCCTACAACTGGGTGAATTAAGATCGGTGTTTACCCTCTTGGTAGCGATCACCCAAATGTCACCAAATTGCGACTTCTGCCGGTGTGCCTTCGGATGTGTCGAACCTTTGAAAGCATCAAGGAAATATTACATTACAATATATATATATGTGTGTGTACATGTATATACGAATATAAACTGTATATATATATATATATATCCCCCTCCCCAAAACCTATATTTTGAGTGTCTGATGTGACGATTGTGTGACAGATCTGGTGAAAGTCATGGTCATTGCTGTTGAAGATTCCAATGGATTGCCAAAACAAACATCGGTTCATGAGCAAGATTGAATATTTATAGTGGGCACGGGTGACTTGGGACCAGTACTATACCCTTTGGACCCTGTGCACAGGCAGATGACTTGGGAGTTTGCTAAAAAATTGGGACGTACGATGGTGACATGGGACACGGGTAGGTTTTACAATATGCTAGTAGTCCTGAGTCATCAGACATCAGCATAAAGTTCTGCAAACGATGGTGGTTAGTGGAAGCACAGAAGTACAGAATGTGCTAGATAGTGAGCAGTGCGCAGCAGCCAGACGAGTTTTCGATGCCGTCACCCCGGTTAGACATCAGATCTTGGCCATGTGCCAGGAGCACAGTGTGCCACAGGCAAGCCAGAGATCAGCATTTCTGTGCCAGTACTCATACTGAGCACTACGGATCTTTATCCGCATGAGAGGAGACCCCACTGTACAGTTTTGGTTCAACTTGATTCTGTCTTTCAAGTATCGCCAGGCCCGATCGATGATCTGAGTCCCACCCTTGGTTTTGATTGGCAAACCAGATTTGGGATCTTTGTGGGTAATGAGCTTCACGTATGTTGGAGGCTTCCAAACCCATTTGCCCTTGACCTTGATCCTTTTTTTGCAATGCTTGACATGGTCATGGAGAATACCAGGCAAGCGCAATCGATAAGACTTCGCAGCATCGGTGTGAAGGACAACACAGCGGTCCTGGAGATGCTTTGTGGCCAGGGGCTTCCACTCGACCTTCCTAATGGCGCCTGGACCAAGAGATCTTGTAGCAGACATAGTAGGGGACAATCTCTTGAGGAGCAGTGTCTGTGGACAACCGCGCTGGATGATGCCACACCACTGCTCCCAAGCCACAGGCTTTGCAGGATCCTCGGCACAATCCTTGAAGTCTGTAGTTGTGAAAGTCGCCTCGTCTGCCTCGATGTCCATCCAAGTTTTGCCGTTGCCGAAGACAATGAGCTTCTCTTTCTCTTCCACCCATGCTTTTCGAAGTTGCATCATGCGCTTGTCCATGTCCTCAATGGCCTTGTGGTTGATGTGCAAGATGCGATGAATGGTAGCATTGGGAACTCGATTCAAGAGCAAGAACAAGAGAGCAGATTGGGTTTGAAGAGATGTATGGCTTGAACCTCTTGCATCCACGAAGAGAGGATGTAGGTGATGTGGATTGATGTAGGCTTGACAGCCAAATCCATTGCACCTGTGCCTCGGCATCCCAGAGTCTCCAGTTTGAAGTTTGGAGTTTGGAAAGCTTACCCTTCTGGCAACGAGGGCATGTCGAACCTGTCCAGTCATGTAGAAGACGATCTGCTCGAAGTAGTTTGATCAAGCCAGCATCCGATGCACTCAGGAAGTCCTTGAGCTTGCGTTTCCAAGCTGTCTGATCCATGCGCTGTTCCTTGATAGCACCCTTCGTCCGCACATAAGGGATACTTTTCCAGCCGTTGTTCTTTTTTTTTGGCAGGTCTTTTCAAAACTTTTCTGCCTGTCCCTTTCTTTGTGTCTGGAAGGGATTGAACTTGAGGCTCTTCACATTTCTCTTCCCCATGTCGAAGCGGTGGACCGACACTCTACACCAAAACTGTGAACCCAAAATGCTCGACAAGACCACGCAACATAAATTGGATGTCAAGGTGCTGCAGTGAAGAACAAGTCTTTGAAGCAAGAAGAACAACACATTCAAGGCATGTGAGAATCTAATATGCAGACAAACAGACCTGAAGCAAAATGGGAATGCCAATTGTGCATGCACCACAGACGAGACAAGCAGAGCATTGAATATGCAAGAACAATCTGAATGGAAGTGGACTCAGAAAGTGGATAGAGCTCTTTTTGTTCCCGAGAGCGTGTGAGCGCAGGGTTCTTCCAATAGTGGGGGTCTGTATCTCACCTTCTCATCTTCACACCTTCTCATCTTCACATCTGCTCATCCTCACATCTGCTCATCTTCACATCTTCTCTCACATCTGTTCATCTTCATATCTTCTCTCACATCTTCTCTCACATCTTCTCTCATCTGCTCATCTTTCTTCATATCTTCTCTCACATCTTCTCTCACATCTGCTCATCTTCACATCTTCTCTCACATCTTCTCTCACATCTGTTCATCTTCATATCTTCTCTCACATCTTCTCTCACATCTTCTCTCATCTGCTCATCTTTCTTCATATCTTCTCTCACATCTTCTCTCACATCTGCTCATCTTCACATCTGCTCATCTTCACATTTGCTCATCTTCACATCTTCTCTCACATCGTCTCTCACATCTGCTCATCTTCACACCTTCTCTCACATCTTCTCGCCTTCACATCTTCTCTCCTTTCTCTCTCCTTTTTCTCTCTCTCGCCTTCTTTATCTTTCTCTCTTTAGGCCGAGGGTGGTACCGGCGGCGAGTCACGAAACGGCAACCCTTTCGCACGAAATGAGGGTCGATCGGCAAAAACTGAGGTAAAATTGCGATTTGACTTGCCCCGGAGCAACCCTTTCGCACGAAATGAGGGTCGATCGGCAAAAACTGAGGTAAAATTGCGATTTGACTTGTCCCGGAGCAACCCTTTCACACGAAATGAGGGTCGATCGGCAAAAACTGAGGTAAAATTGCGATTTGACTTGCCCCGGAGCAACCCTTTCGCACGAAATGAGGGTCGATCGGCAAAAACTGAGGTAAAATTGCGATTTGACTTGTGCCGGAGCAACTTTTTCGCACGAAATGAGGTTTATGTCGTACGAGCGTTTCTGTGTAAAGATGTTTGTGTGTAAAAGTGTTTGTGTGTACAAGTGCATCTGTGTAAAAGCAATTGTGTGTCAAAGCTTTTGTGTGTAAAAGTGTCTCTTTGTAAAAGGGTTTGTGTGTAAGAGTGTTTCTGTGTAAAGATGTTTGTGTGTAAAAGTGTTTGCGTGTAGAAGTGCATCTGTGTAGAAGTGTCTGTGTGTAAAAGCTTTTGTGTGTAAAAGTGTCTATGTGTAAAAGTGTTTGTGTAAAAGTGTTTGTGTGTACAAGTGCCTGTGTGTAAAAGCGTCTATGTGTAAAAGCTTCTGTGTGTACAAGCGTTTGTGTGTAAAAGCAGCTCCTGTGTGTAAAAGGGTCTGTGTGTAAAAGTGTCTGTGTGTAAAGGCTTCTGTGTGTAAAAGTGTCTGTGTAGAAGCGTCTGTGTGTAAAAGCTTCTGTATGTAAAAGCTTCTGTGTGTAAAAGCTTCTGTATGTAAAAGCTTCTGTGTGCAAAAGCTTCTGTGGGTAAAAGCTTTGTGTGTAAAAGCTTTGTGTGTAAAAGCGTCTGTGTGTAAAAGTGTTTGCGATGCAAACTACTTGTCTTGCACTTCTCACTATTTTGTCTTGATACTCCTCTTCTCGACTGCCTATAACACAGCTTTCATATATCGTTTCTAATATTGCGTCTCCATACTAACAAGAGAAGACCCTGCTCCTCTACGCTCTCGGGCCAT